GTTGCGACAAACCGTACACTGGCGAGACTTCCTACATTTAACGCCAGAGTTCAAGACCGTCAATACGCTGGTAGGACTTGACACCCACCACGCATACGCAGCTCACCGGGATGAACATTTACACGGCAAGGCATGGCAAGGTGCCAGACTCTTCATCAAAGGAATGAAATCAGAAAGTGTCTAGAAGTTGCTTGTAATTTATACACAGAACGCAAATAAACAGAAACAAGTCACGTTTAATCTAGACAAACTTTTGGTACACATCGTATTAAAAGGGACAGTTGCCTATCCAGACTCAGGAAAGTGTTATTGACCAGCATACTTGTTGTATAGTTCCATCACTCGCACCACCCACCTATGATGCCTCCATCACTCTCACCACCCACCCATGATATTTCCATCACTCGCACCACCCACCTGTGATGCCTCCACACGCACCACTCACCCATGATGCATCCATCACTCGCACCACCCACCCATGAGGCTTCCATTACTCGCACCACCCACCTGTGATGCCTCCACACGCACCACCCACCCATGGTGCATCCAGCACACGCACCACCCACCTATGATACATCCATCACATGCACCACCCACCTATGATGCATCCATCACTCGCACCACCCACCTATGATACCTCCATCACACGCATCACCCACCTATGATGCCTCCATCACACGCATCACCCACCTATGATGCATCCATCACTCGCACCACCCACCTATGATACCTCCATCACACGCATCACCCACCTATGATGCCTCCACACGCATCACCCACCTATGATGCCTCCACACGCACCACCCACCTATGATGCCTCCATCACACGCACCACCCACCTATGATGCATCCATCACTCGCACCACCCACCTATGATGCCTCCATCACACGCACCACCCACCTATGATGCCTCCATCACACGCACCACCCACCTATGATGCCTCCATCACACGCACCACCCACCCATGGTGCATCCATCACACGCACCACCCACCTATGATGCCTCCATCACACGCACCACCCACCTATGATGCATCCATCACTCGCACCACCCACCTATGATGCCTCCATCACTCGCACCACCCACCTATGATGCACTCCATCACCGCACCACCCACCTATGATGCCTCCATCACACGCATCACCCACCTATGATGCCTCCACACGCACCACCCACCTATGATGCCTCCATCACACGCACCACCCACCTATGATGCCTCCATCACACGCACCACCCACCTATGATGCCTCCATCACACGCACCACCCACCTATGATGCCTCCACACGCACCACCCACCTATGATGCCTCCTCACACACACCCCCACCTATGATGCCTCCATCACACCGCATTCACCCACTATGATGCATCCACACGCACCACCCACCTATGATGCCTCCATCACACGCACCACCCACCTATGATGCCTCCATCACACGCATCACCCACCTATGATGCCTCCACACGCACCACCCACCTATGATGCCTCCATCACACACACCACCCACCTATGATGCCTCCATCACACGCACCACCCACCTATGATGCCTCCATCACACGCACCACCCACCTATGATGCCTCCATCACACGCACCACCCACCTATGATGCCTCCATCACACGCACCACCCACCTATGATGCCTCCATCACACGCACCACCCACCTATGATGCCTCCATCACACGCACCACCCACCTATGATGCCTCCATCACACGCACCACCCACCTATGATGCCTCCATCACACGCACCACCCACCTATGATGCCTCCATCACACGCACCACCCACCTATGATGCCTCCATCACACGCACCACCCACCTATGATGCCTCCATCAACCGCACCACCCACCTATGATGCCTCCATCACACGCACCACCCACCTATGATGCCTCCATCACACGCACCACCCACCTATGATGCCTCCATCACATGCACCACCCACCTATGATGCCTCCATCACACACACCACCCACCTATGATGCTTCATACACCAGTTATTTCACTGGACTCTATTAATAGGCATCTCACATGCATCTCCTCCCAAAGTAAGCATGTGTGCGTGTATGTATTATCTATATGACTTGGTAAAGAGACGTGTCCCAATAAAAGTGTATTCTACATGTCATTTTCCTCATTGTATATCTATTTTCATAGTGGTGCAGTAAACCCGTAGGGGTCATGCAGCATAATTGGGTATGGAATATAATTGAGTTTTATCTAAGGGAAGCGTATCTCCAATCACTGGATTAATAATCCTTGACCAGCAACAAGGCTCCGTCCCTTCAAGGGTTAATCAATATATGTTATATATATTTTGCTAATTATTGTATCACCAAAATAATCTTCATATAAAGATTATATATATATATATATATATATATATATATATATATATAATATATATATATATATATATATATATTATATAATATATATAATATAATTATAATATATATAACCGATGCATGTTTTTTTTCTTTACTCTTTTTTGCGACGATGATCGAGTGATATAAATTTGTGATTTACTATAAATCTAGATTTTCTTGGTATTTAAGGTGGTTTTATGTTGGAAAAGACTGTACTTATGACTAATTTGTATGTAAATAAGACAGTGTGGGTTGTAGCTTCATAGTGTGAAGTCCTGTGGCTCGGTTGTCAACACACGCATCTCAAATACTGAGTATCTGGGGTTCGATCCCCGGCAAGGGTGGGAATGTTACCTTATACCTGCTGCCCCTGTTCACCTAGCAGTAAGTAGGTAACCTGGGTGTTATTGGACTGTTGTGGGTGGTAGTATACCTCAGACATGAGGTATGAGTTGAAGCAGGATAACACTTAAACTGTAAAATTGATTTGTGTAAAAAAGAAAAAGAAAGAAAAGAAAAAACTAGAGGTTTGCTCCACCAGGGAGTTTATCATTTCACACAGCTGGTGAGACGACCAGGCCTCTGTGGATCAGGGCCTGATCAACTAGACTCTTACTGCTGGCCGCACGTAGTCCAACGGACGAACCACAGCCCGGCTGATCGAGTACTGACTTTGGGTATCTAGCAGTAGATATTTAGGAGATAGTTGACTTTTGTGGGTGGTATCCTGTGAGGACCTCAAAAGTGGACCCTACTGGAAATAAGCCATGCTCCTTGAGGTTATTAACCCCTTGGGTTAATAACCTTGGGTTATTAACCTGAGGTTATTAACCCCTTGGGTTAATAACCTTGGGTTATTAACCCCTGGGTTTATTAACCCCGATAATGTGTTCTTTTAGTACTAGTTTTCACCTAGGATGTGTGTGTGCGTCGGTACTTATCAAGAGATGAGTTATTCTTATTTCCTTGGGCTGCTAGACTGACACATGCTGACATTGAGAAACCTGAAAATAAATGTGTACAGATTCATTAAGTCACAATTAGGCACTTGTGTCTGCTGAAAGCCAAAACACATGGCTAAATAAATTATAGATGTAGTAGTTAGAGAGACATATATCATCATTTATCACTGGTGATGAGCCAACACAAGACAGCACTGCTATAGATAACATTAAAAAGGAAACTTTGCAGTTTACTCTGCATTAAGGTAGAATTTACATTCCTCAGGTGTTGGTCTTCCCCTTAACAGTTTCAGACTGCTTCATGGCTCCATTATAAGCCATATTTCATTGATAACATCATTGTATGTCACTTCTCGTGCCCACATACATGCTTCGCTTATGCGTATACATATCCAACCTTACGGTATGTTTGCTTGGTAATCCACCGCAGCAAATTACCTGCAACACTTTCTCAGCCAACACAAATCAGTTATAATAATCACCCTGTAATGTTCCAGACAATGCACAACCCCCATACAATGCATCCACACCCACTATTGTATATTTTATATATGTAAAACACTTCGAACTTCAACCCAGCACCCCGGTTGTTCCTAGAGTTCTGCAACACAACTCACAGATACAAGACAAGGAAAGTGTTTCTTTGATATACCGGGTGTTCCACTTAACCAATGCCGTAACCCCACATATGGTAAAAAAATTTTACTGCCTTCCAGAAGACGCAAATAATTTTCCCTTCAGCCACCTGCTTCAAAATACATTTAGAAAGTAATTCCTAAACCAAGTAGGCAGGGTATACCCTGCCTGCCTACTTGGTTTAGTTTGTTAAAACCTCGTGTATCAATAACAACCTTATTGATCCAAGTCATGTTAGCATTCCTACCAGTGTTTCACTATCACCAATATATTTCAACAGGTGTAATAACCCCCAAAAAATGTTCTACTTCACCATTCATCACTACAAATGATGTATTAATTTTTTTTATAACAAGTCTGCCATCTCCCACCGAGGCAGGGTAACCCAAAAAGAAAGAAAATCCCCAAAAAGAAAATACTTTCATCATCATTCAACACTTTCACCTCACTCACACATAATCACTGTTTTTGCAGAAGTGCTCAGAACACAACAGTTTAGGAGCATATACATATAAAGATACACAACATATCCCTCCAAACTGCTAATATCCCAAATTATTATTATAATCAAAAAGAAGCACTAAGCCATAATATCCCGAACCCCAACTTTAGAGCGCAGGCATTGTACTTCCCATTTCCAGGACTCAAGTCCGGCTATATAAAAATAACCAGTTTCCCTGAATCCCTTCACTAAATATTACCCTGCTCACACTCCAACAGATCGTCAGGTCCCAAATACCATTCGTCTCCATTCACTCCTATCGAACACGCTCATGCACTCCTGCTGGAAGTCCAAGCCCCTCGCCCACAAAACCTCCCTTACCCCTTCCTTCCAACCTTTTCGAGGACAACCCCTACCCCGCCTTAAATCTCCTACAGATTTAAATGCTCTCCATGTCATTCTACTTTGATCCATTCTCTCTAAATGACCAAACCACCTCAACAACCCCTCTTCAGCCCTCTAATACTTTTGTTAACTCCAAAAACTGTGAATGGCATAAATCATAAACTAGATTGGTATATAAAAACTCAAAGATTGCAGGTAATTTAATTTAATATTTGCTCAAGAGTTACAAGTTATTTTTAATCCTTTGAATAAATGGTTTAGAAAACCGAGAAGTTGATAGATAAGTCACTTGTGCATCTGGAAACTCTTCCTCTTGGGTTGGGTTAGGTAAGGTTTGTCAGGAAGTATTTCCTTCCACTGGTCTTAGTCATATGACAACCCACAGTTGGAGCTTTTGGTGATCTGACCGAGGCCTTCCGCTGGCTTACCAGTCCACCCCTTTAAAAATTAATTATCATTTGGTATCTCGAAGGGGGACTTCAAGTAGTTGCCAGAATTTCTTTTTCTTCCTCCAACTTTGTTTTTCTTTTGCACATAACTTGAGGCCTCGTCTGATCTGATCGTCAAATCATCATCACTTATGTAGGGTAACGAGGTCAAGTTCTTGGAACAATTGGCATGTGCGGTCGCCATATGAACAAAGTAGCTGAACCCATTCTCAGCATCCTGGAATGGTTCAGATAACTTCCAAAACTCTCAGTAGCCTAGTTTCAAACATTAAAAAAAGATACCTCCTAAGTCAACATTGGTGGAGTGAAATTCAAGTGTGTAATTGCAGATTTGGAAAGGGGTAAATTGTAAAAAATAATATTACAAGTCCAGAGCAGAAGAGATGAGTAGGGATTATTATTATAATCAAGGAGGAAGTACTAAACCCATAAGATTATACAGCACTTGTGGGGGGATGTGGAAGATATTCAGGCTTAATTCGGGGAACTGGAGCACATATCCAATTCCCTAGATCAAGAGCCCCTCACCAGCATCAAGGAATCTTCCTTGAGGGGATATGAGTAGGGAGACTTAAGAAACAAGAGAAACTGGAGAGAGAACATTTGCAGTAAAATTGCCACTTAGACTGAGCTTTGTATTCAGAATTGCCCAGTTTTAGATTTATTTTTATGGGTGAATTAATATAATTTTTTTTTTTTTTTTTTTTTTTTTACAGTTGAATCTAAAGGCTAAGAGCAGTTATCCTTTGCAGCTTATTTCAGTGTCCTGGCTAAAGTATTTCAACACCCCCGTGGTATGTAACTCACAGTAGTCAACAGAAGAAATATCTTAAGGTTCCTCTCTCTCTCTGTAATCGAGTGTTTTAAACCTAGTACAATATCAGATGTTATTTGCTCATAGAAACCTTTAAACCTGTAGGAATCATATGGTGCCTGGGGAATGGAAAGAAATCAAACTTGATTCTAGAGAAAGAAAGGTGGGTCAAAATCCTTGAATTATGAGCCCTTCACTAGTACCAAGACACCTTACCCTCTTGAAGGGAATTATCAATGGAAACCACAGAGGAAGACCCAGGGGCTGGAGAAGAGGGTCAAGTTATAGGAATAGGGAGACAAGGAAGTAAAAGACTGAGGATTAAAGGACTGAGGACTAGAAGAGGAAGACAAGGAAGTAGAGGACCAAGGAGTGTATTTGATACATATATTTTATGTACTGCCATGAGTGCTTAGTGAATTACATGGTCAAATTACTGTGGCTGTGAAAATGTCACAGCTACTACTATACTGAAATTTCATATAATACTTTGATTAGATAAAAAATAATGTAAAAATATTTTCAATCGTCAAAAATGTGATTTTAGCACTTTGAGAAGAAAAATACAACTTTGTAGTCCTTCATCTATATTTATTATGTTACATATTTACAAAGTAATTTTTTATAAGTTACTTTTACCATTTTATTTTTAATGATGTCATCTTGAAGGATTTAAAAATATGATAACTGTATGCTACTATAATTTGCCAAACTAAACGATTTTGCAAACTACATGTAAATAAATTCCTAGAGCCATAATAGTTCTTATTGTGACATATGATGGAAACCCTGTTGCCAACAAAAGTTAATGTATTTGCTGCTATAGGAATAGATAAGTTCATATGCTTCATCTGAAGTCTTAAAAAAACCTATTGCATCATTCTGAAGGCTTCTTGCTAGAGTATGCAACAAAACATGGGTGTTCCAAGTTCACAATGACATTTGTATACTATTACACATATACTCAAGTGACAATTTTAGTTTGCTTCACAAGGAATTTAAAACAATTCTTAAGAGAGTTTTAAGCCAAAATTTTAATTACATAATAGTATGACCTTAGCAAATGCTTTCTTTTCTCATATACGTACTAATATTTTTCTTATATGTTAGCATGTGTAACAAATCAAAAGCAAAAAAAAAAACTAAGTGACAAACAAAAATTTTAAATCCATATATTTTTGTGTTCTTATAATCAAATGTACAGCCAAAACAAAATGAATAGTTTGAGAGTCTGAGTTAGTTTTAACCCATAAACGGTCCAAGCAGATCTACATTCACATGTGTAGTGCTCCAAAAGTAGATCAAAGTTTTTTTTACACATTTTCAAATGTAAAAAAAAAAAATCTACCTTTTTTACATTCAAATGTTGAAAAAACGTATACATATATACGTTTGGACCGTTTACGGGTTAAATAATGAATCTGAATTTAGCTTAAGGAAATTAAATACCCTTAATTTTTAAGAAAGCCACAGTCGAAAAACACATTCCAGAACTTAACACATTAAGGTACAGGTATTACCCAAAGGTTTATACACCCTAAGTATTCATAGCATACCAGTTTTTACTAAAAGACACAGCTATATAAAAATTTTTAAACTATATACGTTTAGGAGGTACCCATGCTTCAATTTTAGGCTTGGTGGTGCTATATGGAACGTAGGCTTCTTCTGTGCCAGTTTTATTCTCTGTATGTCCACTCAGCCATCCATAACTAGTTGGAGCAACCTAAAAAGAAAATGGACACACTCACATCAGCTGAATGACTATCAAAATGCAATTTTCTTTTAAGCAAATACATTGCAAACACTATTTACTTTTAGACAACATTTATATTTTGCCTATGACAGTCACCAAAATGTACTACACGTGTAAAATTACTATCCTGGGAAAATATCTGCACATTAGGTCCAAAACTGATTAAAAAATTTAACATGTTATATTTCTTCAAAATAAAGCTGTCTCATTGACAAGCAGTTTTGAAAAAATAGAAAAAGCCAAGAGAGAGAACTTGCAACTTAAAAGTTCAGTCTACAAGTCCTGAATAGAAAAATAAATCAATTCATCTACTTCATAGCAGCAAAAAAGATTTGATGTACTGTATATTATTATTATTCCAACAAGTGTGCGTGAGCGTGTTAGATAGGAGAGAATGGAGACGAATGGTATTTGGGAACCTGACGAGCTGTTGGAGTGTGACCAGGGTAATATTTAGTGAAGGGATTCAGGGAAATCAGTTATTTTTATATAGCTGGACTTGAGTCCTGGAAGTGGGAAGTACAATGCCTGTGCTTTAAAGGAGGGGTTTTGGGATACTGGCAGTTTGGAGGGATATATCATGCATCTTTATACGTACATGCTTCTAAACTGTTGTATTCTGAGCACCTCTGCAAAAACAGTGATTATGTATGAATGAGGTGAAAGTATTGAATGATATAAGTATTTTCTTTTTGGGTCACCCTGCCTTGGTGGGAGAATGCCGACTTGTTAAAAAAAAAAAACATTATTATTATATTCAGCATGAAGGTGTGAGGACAAGTAGGGATAGGAATTAGCATAAAGTCAAGGGGTTAATGTTGGTGAAATAGGTTAGTTTCTAAGTCAGTTTGTGTTGATGGTGGAACTTCCAGTAAGGAAGTCATCAAGTTTGTGTCAGGGTGCTCAAGATATTGAAAGTGAATAATGTGTGACCTCTAAGAGATAGAATAATTTTCTTCTTTCAACAAACCAGCCATATCCCACCAAGGAAGGGTGGCCCAAAAGGAAAAACAAAAGTTTCTCCTTTGACATTTAGTAATATATACAGAAGGGGTTACTAGCTAGCTCCTTGCTCCTGGCATTTTAGTCACCTCTTATGACACGCATGGCTTACGGAGGAAGAATTCTGTTCCACTTCTCCATGGAAAGTACTTGCAGTATAATTACAATACACATACATACTGCATATTTTTATACCTCCTAAAAAAAAAAATTGTTGCAACTCACCTCAGTTGGGGGTTTATCAGTCTTGTGGTGTAACCATCCAAACCACTCTGCTGGTACCAAAGAGCCATCATAATCCATTCCATAACGTGGGTGATATATTACCCAACGGTCACGACCTGAAATTTGGTTAAACATTACTAGGTTTATTCATAAAACCACGTATGACTAAGCTTAAAAAAGTGGGGTTTGCACTCCTCTATTTATTAGTAGTTTTTTGTAATGCTATTTGATTTCCTAACATTTTCACATAATTAGTATTAATATTGTATATTCACGGGGAATCTCTAAACCCAAAAAAGTCATTTAGCATCTGAGTCATGGGTAGCAGTTAGGTTCAATACAAGGGAGGCAAGGATAGTTCCTGTTCCTTGGATCAAGAACCCTTCACCAACATCTAAGGACCCTTCTTGAGGAGTTAACATGCCCTAAGTTTAACAATTACAAAAACAAACACAGGGTATTCATGAGAACATTGGATATCCACACCCACACTCTAAGAATGTGGAATTGGAAATTAAATTTGTTTCTAATATGAAAGCAGAGGTTTTAGGGGAAGGCAGAGTACTAGAACAGCAATGATGTTTCTTAAACAAATCTTTGGATAATGTATATGTACAGTAATTTTTTCAAGTACATTAGACCCTAGTATGATACACTACTTCTACCACAATTCTTGATGCGCTATATAGTTTGAAAAAATTTAATTAGGATTCCTATAGAAAGAAATTACATGTAGTATTCTCAGCCAGGTAAACAGCTCCCATGAGCTTGGAACACCTGTACAGTACTGAAGCACATAAAACCCTTCAAGTAAAATGTTTCTGCACTCCGAAGATTAATTAGACAACCAGTATATCTCAGCCAGGATAAGCGAGTAAAATCAATCTTATCAAATTCACAGATTTTTGTACAATACTATCCAGTTATTTGGTAAGTGTGGTGTGCTACAGTATTTCAAAGGAAAAAAATTATGCAAAAAATATTGGTTTTCTTGTAATAAATTTTGGCAAGTTGGATTTTTTGAGTCATTATCCTATAATTTGTACTGAAGAGTACAGGTATGTATTTGTATATTTTTCATGTACTTTAATCAAAATATACACAAATGTTTTGCATGATTTACACATTAATAAAACTCACACTTCATGAACCCAAATAAGAGTTCTGTGATGGCAGATCTAAAAGCTTTTGCATCTATTACATTTACTTGACAAAAATACAACAAAGCTATATTGAATATTGTTCACTGGTTACTTCTTAGCACAATCACCAAACCTATTGAGGCACTTATCCCAACATGTTGCCAGTTTGTGCTTTGCATAGAATTCTATAAGCTGATTACATAGCAATTAACAAACAGCTGTCAGCACAGAACACATGGAAATGCTGTCCTACCATGAACTACTACCGAGGCCTGAATATATGGAAATCACTGGGGTGAGATCTGGGCCATAATTATATTTTTTGGTAGGAATAATAATGGATGTAAAGAATTTTTAATCTGCCTCTGTCTCACCTAGAACTTTATTATCTGAACAATTAAATATCCATTGCTTTGGCTATTTATGAATGGAAAAAGCTACTTGCCGAGTAGGAGTTGTTTATTTTCATAGTATTTGTTTCCAAGAGCATCCTCACCCACTAGGGTGCCATCTTTAAGGTCATCAACCCTGTAAATGGAAAATAAAATTAAAGTACCATATGCACTTATTTTACTGCATATTGTACATATAACTTTTAAACATAATTTCCAAAATTTGGAATTAAGAGCTATGCCCAACGTTTCACTCAGCATGGGTGAAACTATCATTTTCCTCACGCCTGCTGCTCCTGTTCACCTAGCAGTAAGTACCAAGGAGTTAGTTGACTGTTGCAGGTCACATCCTGGGGGAAAAGATTAAAGGTACCCCAATGGTAATACGGCCGACAGTATACCTGGAGAGGGGTCAATGCCCCTGCAGCCTGGTCTGTGACCAGGCCTAATAGTGGATCAGAGTCTGATCGACCAGGCTATTACTGCTGGCTGCATGTAAACTACTGGTAATCCCCCTTATGTGTGCTGGGAGGCTGTTCAAAAGTCTTGGGCCCAAGATTTATTGTGTTGTCTCTTAGCATACTCATGGCATCCCTGCTTTTCATTGGAGGGATGTTACACCACTTGCTGAGTCTTTTGCTTTCATAAGGAGTGATTTTCATGTGCAAATTTGGTACTACTCCCTCTAGAATTTTCCAAGTGTATATTATCATGTACGTATCTTTCTCATCTCCATTCCAGGGAATACAAGTCAAGGAACTTCAACAGTTCTCAGTAATTTAGATGTTTTATCGTACTTATGTATGCCATGAAGGTTCTCTGTACATTCTCCAGGTCAGCAACTTCACTTGATTTGAAAGGCACTGTTAGTGTACAGCAATATTCCAGCCTAGAGAGAGAACAAGCGATTTGAAGACAATCATGGGCTTGGCATCCCTAGTCCTCGGTGACACACTGACTTTACCGAGTAATCAAAGGTGGGTAACCCAGGACCTGTGGCTCAGTTGGCAGTGCTCTTGCCTCACACAATGAGTGTCTGTGGTTCGAGTCCCGGTCAGGTGGAAACAATCGGCATGTGTCCTTACACCTGCTGTTTTTGTTCACCTAGCAGTAAGTTGGTACCTGGGTGTTAATTGACTGGTGTGAGTCACATCCTGGGGGACAAGGCTGAAGGACCGCAATGAAAAGACGACAAGACAGTCTTCGACTTTCTTGGGCTACCTTGGTTGGCTAACTCTCCTCTGGGTTAAAAATCGCAACAAATTTTATCTTAACTCTTCGGGTTAATTCCAACATCTTGTCTCATATGCAAGTTATTATCCTTATCTAAATTACAATATCAGAATAAAAAATTTAGTAAGTGCTATACTACTAAATTTTTATTGAGGCTTCCGATGTAATGTCAAATTTTTACAATGGGTTTATTTAATAAATTATGTAGAATTTAACCCCTACATATTTTAACCTGTGCAGATTTTAGCCTATAAATTTTAACCAATGTAGATTTCAATCAAAGCAAATTTTAAACTATGCGGAGTTTAAACAATGCAATTCTTAAACAATACAGATTTTAAACTGTGCAGATTTTAAACGATGTAGATTTTAACTCGTAGAATTAAACCATGTAGATTTTCACCCATATAGATTTAAGCTTCTTTAGATTTTAACCTACATATAAATTAATACTATGTAGATTCTAACCAAATTTTTTGTTTCTGCCCGAAATACTTAGTAAATTTATTTAGGTACAGATACACATAAACAGTTGCACAAATTACAATACATATTAACATGTGTGTAAATTACCCGGGATAACCCCCCCCCCAAAAAAAAAAAAAAAAAAAAAAAAAAAAAATCAGTACCTCGTATAATAAAAGGACACCCAAACATATTTTGGGAAGCGTTAAACCCGTAGGGGTTTTTGGTGCTTCCCAGAGTATTGGAAGGCAATGAGGTTCAATACCAGAGGAAGAGCTAGCTCCAGTTCCCTGGATCAAGAGACATCGAGGCCCACTCCGCCCCCAACCCAGAGTGAAATTTGAAATTAAAGAGGTCTATATAGCTGTTAGAGCACACCTATAGAGCTGATAAAGGGCGCCCCTGATGCCACCATGATTCCTGATGATCCTGACAGCCTTGACCAATTTATCCAGACCAAAATAAGAAGCCATGACGGCGGCCGCTCTCCTTCTGCCTGCTAAACCATCCACATCATATTTACATGTTGCACTCTCCATTATTTTTTGGCTTTTGTGTAATTTTCTCCACAACTAATGTTTAATTGAGTAATTACTAGGTTTGAAGTTTATAATTGAGGCCTCAAAAGAAAATATAAGGATAATATAGGAACATCGTATGAATTGATAAATATTCTGTTATATGAAGTTCCTGGTTATTTTATTTATAAATTTTCTGGTAGATTGCTGAGTTTACTTATTTTTTTGGAATATATGTCATAGAAAAAGACCTAAAATGAAATAATCGAATTATTCCTTTAGCGCTGAAATTACATTGTTTTGGCCTATTTACGTATTATTTTAAATATACTTGTGATTTTTCCTAATTTTTATTTATACTGTATAATTAATTGAATTGTCATACATATATATTTATTCAGTGATATATAAATATTTAGCAACAATGAACTCCATTATAAAAAGATAAATGGGTTATATTATGATTTTATTAAATTATGAAAATTTAATGACATTCATTAAATTAATGTGGAAGTATTTTTCACAATAGGAGTGCATCAAATAAGTTAGATTTTGTAATAATATGACGCACATATTTTGCAAGTGTTGATAATCCCCTAAATTTAGGAAGTCGTTGTTAAAGTGTCTCAAGTTAGTTTTAATTTAATACTAATTTTATTTATAAGCGTCTTCTATATTTCTCTTGGTAAAAACTATTTAAAGTCCAAAATAAGACAGAGACATGCAGTTTTATCGAGTATATACAATGAAAATAAGTCAATCAAGTTATAATAATATAATATCTTTATTTACTACATGTACAAGGTATACAGACCATAGCTGACATCAGTGACACACTACTAAATAGAAAGCCGCTTGCTAAGCTGAGCATTTCCCGGAAATTGTCAGTTTCATCCCAGGATGCGACCCACACCAGTCAGCTAACACTGATGGGTGAACATAGACAACCGGTGTAAGGAAACACGTCCCATGTTTCCATCCCTTCCCTGGGAGTCGAACCCGGAACCTCACCGTGTGAGGCCAGAGCTTTTGTCACCAGGCCGCGGGACCTTTATTTCGTTAACCTGGATTATATTTACGTAACGAATCATTTGTATGTACCTATAATATCCCGGGGCCCTCGAAACCAGTATAAAAAACTTAAATATTATGAGAATGTAAGGAATAAATCAATCTGACTTTTGTATTATCCTAAGTAATTTACACATGTTACCATATATGGTAATTTGCGTAGCTGTATTTATGTGTACCTGTACCTAAATTATATTTACTTACTCATTTACTAAAAAAAAAACAGAATATAAGAGTGGTTAAGCCGGTGGTCTCTCACTATCAGCTGATAGTTACGCCTGGCTCACCTCTGTCAAAAGTGGGTGGATCTTTATCTTCTCCATTTTTTTACCCTTCTTTGGTTATTTATTACATTATTTCGGTTTGTAACAGGTGGTCCTGGACTGTGGCTCATTCCTGACTGCTTGTAACATCCGCAGTGTGGGATAAATGAGCAGTATTTAAGGTATTGAGAGCTTGTGGTGGAGACCACAGGGGAAATAAATCATATTATTTAGACTTTCTAGTTTGTAATTGCTTAAGTCTTTGGGTTTTTATTTTTCTGGTGTATTAGATTGGGATTGTGAATCTCAGTATGTGGTGTAAACGTTGTTTATTGGCACCAACAAGTGGTTTTTAAAAAAACAGAGATGTTTGCAAACACGTTTCGGTCGTGAGGTAGGCCTATTGAGCCATGTTAGGCAGGTCTAACTCACCCCCACACACCAACTATATTTACAGCTACACAAGGTTCTTGCCTCAGTCACACTACCTGGGAGTTTGTTTTATTCGTCTACAATTCTATTCCCAAACAATTGCTTCCCTATGTCCTGTGTAGCACCTGTAGGTTTAGCGCTGTGTAGCACCTGTGGGTTTAGCGCTGTGTAGCACCTGTAGGTTTAGCGCTGTGTAGCACCTGTGGGTTTAGTGCTGCATAGCACCTGTGGGTTTAGCGCTGTGTAGCACCTGTAGGTTTAGCGCTGTGTAGCACCTGTGGGTTTAGCGCTGTGTAGCACCTGTAGGTTTAGCGCTGTGTAGCACCTGTAGGTTTAGTGCTGCATAGCACCTGTAGGTTTAGTGCTGCATAGCACCTGTGGGTTTAGCGCTGTGTAGCACCTGTAGGTTTAGCGCTGTGTAGCACCTGTGGGTTTAGCGCTGTTAGCACCTGTAGGTTTAGCGCTGGTAGCACCTGTGGGTTTAGCGCTGTGTAGCACCTGTGGGTTTAGCGCTGTGTAGCACCTGTAGGTTTAGTGCTGCATAGCACCTGTAGGTTTAGCGCTGTGTAGCACCTGTAGGTTTAGCGCTGTGTAGCACCTGTAGGTTTAGCGCTGTGTAGCACCTGTGGGTTTAGCGCTGTGTAGCACCTGTAGGTTTAGCACTGCATAGTACCTGTGGGTTTAGCGCTGCATAGCACCTGTGGGTTTAGCGCTGCGTTGCACCTGTGGGTTTAGCGCTGCATAGCACCTGTGGGTTTAGCACTGCGTAGCACCTGTGGGTTTAGCGCTGCATAGCACCTGTGGGTTTAGCACTGTGTAGCACCTGTGGGTTTAGCGCTGCATAGCACCTGTGGGTTTAGCACTGCGTAGCACCTGTGGGTTTAGTGCTGCGTAGCACCTGTGGGTTTAGTGCTGCGTAGCACCTGTGGGTTTAGTGCTGCATAGCACCTGTGGGTTTAGCGCTGCATAGCACCTGTGGGTTTAGTGCTGCATAGCACCTGTGGGTTTAGCACTATGTAGCACCTGTGGGTTTAGTGCTGCATAGCACCTGTGGGTTTAGCGCTGCATAGCACCTGTGGGTTTAGTGCTGCATAGCACCTGTGGGTTTAGCGCTGCATAGCACCTGTGGGTTTAGTGCTGCATAGCACCTGTGGGTTTAGCGCTGCATAGCACCTGTGGGTTTAGTGCTGCATAGCACCTGTGGGTTTAGCACTATGTAGCACCTGTGGGTTTAGTGCTGCATAGCACCTGTGGGTTTAGCGCTGCATAGCACCTGTGGGTTTAGTGCTGCATAGCACCTGTGGGTTTAGCGCTGCATAGCACCTGTGGGTTTAGCACTATGTAGCACCTGTGGATTTAGCACTACGTAGCACTTGTGGGTTTAGTGCTGCATAGCACCTGTGGGTTTAGCGCTGCATAGCACCTGTGGGTTTAGCACTGCGTAGCACCTGTGGGTTTAGTGCTGTGTAGCACCTGTGGGTTTGGCACTGTGTAGCACCTGTGGGTTTGGCGCTGTGTAGCACCTGTGGGTTTGGCGCTGTGTAGCACCTGTGGGTTTGGCGCTGTGTAGCACCTGTGGGTTTGGCGCTGTGTAGCACCTGTGGGTTTAGCGCTGTGTAGCACCTGTGGATTTAGCGCTGCGTAGCACCTGTGGATTTAGCGCTGCATAGCACCTGTGGGTTTAGTGCTGCGTAGCACCTGTGGATTTAGCGCTGCGTAGCACCTGTGGATTTAGCGCTGCGTAGCACCTGTGGATTTAGCGCTGCATAGCACTTGTTGGTTTAGCGCTGCATAGCACCTGTGGGTTTAGTGCTGCATAGCACCTGTGGGTTTAGCGCTGCATAGCACCTGTGGGTTTAGTGCTGTGTAGCACCTGTGGGTTTAGTGCTGCGTAGCACCTGTGGGTTTAGTGCTGTGTAGCACCTGTGGGTTTTATGGAAGCCAGTGCAACTATGTACAAAAGATGAGGGAATCAGTCTCAGCCTTGGAGTTGGTGTAAAGAGCACCGTAATCATGAAGAATCTGGAGCACAGGCAAAAAGGCTGGCACTTATATACTGGCGTCAGGTGGAAAGGGATGGGTAGCAGATGGAAGCACTGTCGCTGGAAGGCGGGATTTCCCAGTGGAAGTAGGTCATACCCAGGGGACGGGTTAGTAGTAGTGAAGAGGACATCTCCACAACCTTCTTCACTACTACTAACCCGTCCCTCAGGTATAACCTACTTCCACTGGGAAATCCCAGTGGATTGCCGCTTACAGCATATTTGAAGACACCGTGATTAAGACTTAGATCTACGTGAGCAACACTGGCATCAGTTATGTAGATCTCTGTGGGAGACAGTTAAAGGGTTAATAGTTTGGCTCCTATAATAAAAATAATCTGAGTTGTGATGTAATAAACATTTCTGCCTCGTGCAGTATGCATCCTGATATATGATTTAACCATCAAGGCTCTGGTAGGAAGCAAGTTTGTATGTATGTAATTACTTATTTGTAGCTACATAAACCGAGTGATGCTCGTGGTGTCCCGTCTCCAATAATGTGTTCATCATGTAAGTGAATTATGCCTGCGGTACAAAGCTTTTACTGTAGCCAAGAAACCCATGAAGGCAACATATCAGCCTAAGTAGTGACATGCTCTACTCCTGGGTTTAAACTGGTGAGCTTAATTAAGTACAGATTGGAGGAAGATTGCAGAGTGACTTATAACAGGACATTCAGTAAATCTTCAGGAGCAATTTGATGATTTAGGCCAGCAGTCCTGTGTAAGCTTATGCTTTTCTGTTATGTGGAGGTTAGCCTGTGCAGAATGGTTCCCTTACTCATTAGCTGAATCAAGACTGGAGGATAGTGACTCACTGATTCTTAGAGAATGAAACCATGAATGTTATAAGACTGTAATAAAGATGTGGTAGCTTTTTTTTTTTATCGAAGTTGAATACTGTTCGGGTAAATAGCAAACTTTTCATATTTGACTGTTCAGATTCTCTTCTGACCCTAAGCTTCATATTCCTTTCCCACTGCAGTGTTTCCATGCAACGTGTTTGGACACCAGCAATTGAAATACAAGACTTGTCACACTGCATCCTCCTGTACCAGGGCAGTGTAATGTTTCAGATGTGAGGGGGTGCACACAAAGCTAATGATAAGCTACGTGTAAGACTCAAAATAGGAATGCGCGCTTTTTCATAATGTGTATGCTTGAAACCTAAGTTTTGCAGAATTTAGTAGGCAGGCATTTTGCCTGCATCCTGGTTGCTTTTATGCAACTGTAGTTGCTGGCCACTCAGCCCCTATTCCTTCAGGCTCTCTCCTTTCCCATTGTGGCTGAGCCCCCTAATTCCTCCTGGAGCTCAACCCACCTTGCCTTCAAGCAATCCACTTGTTGCTTCACAAGATGCTCTCACTATTTTCTAGTATACTAACTTCAATCTTTCTAGATCATAATGTCTTTGATCTGTTATGGACCACAAAACTGTTGTTATTCAAGCTTTAATTGATCTTCTGTGTGTCCTCCTTTCAAAATCAGTTACTGTACTGTACTTTGACATATTGAAACTTAATATTTCAGCTGTACATTTCGTTTATTGTATATAAATACTAATTATATTCTTATCCTTTGCCATTTAGACAAAACTTGTAGCTTCCAGTGAGAAGTGATGAGTGGCACAGATGGGGGAATAATAGGTGGTGACGGAGAGGTGCTGGAAGGGTTCCTGTGCCCGTTCTGTCTCATTGACCTTACATCCATCACACAGCTCCAGGCTCACTTTGAGGAGCAGCACTCATCTGAGGATAAAGCTGTTCTCCAGTCTCTCAAAGGCAGGCACTTGTCACTGTAGTGTTTACAGATTTATTTACTATAATCTTTGCTTTGCCTTTTTCTTGTTATATGGTAAGATAAAATGAATTATGTAACTGATAATTCTTGAGTTTCAGGCTTTAATATTCTAGTTGAAATGGCTGATGAATGAAAAATCATTAGTTATTCTTATCTGAATTAACTCTTTCAAATACTTTGGTGAATTATGAATGTTATTTTAAGGAAATTACAGTAATTTTAATTATTTTCTAAGTATTTATAATTATTAGCATTGCATATGGGTAAATGGTGGTGGTGACTAACACCAATAATGCAATTTATTCAATATGTGAGGGGATTAAATTACAAATACTTTTGTGACCTTTCAGTCACATTCTCAAGGAACAGTGTCGTAAAGAGATAACGAAAGCACTGTACTGTAGTATTTGCGTTCCTCTGGCAAGACAGTAATAGTGAATGATGGTGAAAGTGTTTCTTTAACAGGTGACCCTAACTTGGTGGGAGACAGCCGGTGTGTTAAAAATAAAAAAGCACTTGGAATTTAATTCCCTTTCATAGTGGTCAAATTTTATATTAGGATAATGCTTATATCTTGTAATTTTGTTGCACCAATAAAAATGCAGATTCAGTAATACTGTATTGTTAATTATCTCGTATATTTATTTATATTTTCTTTATCACCTACCCATTCTTCTGCTGCTGTCATCTTTCTTTTACAAAGACTTTGTCACTGCTTTCTTTCTATCTGATATTTGGTAATCCTCCTCAACAGCATACACTCATCTCAAGTGAGAGGATAATTTTCCTTGTACTTGCCACTGTCTTGCTACAGTCTTTCTGCCCTTATTTACTCTCGCATATCTTTTACTTTGATTTTACTATACTGTATAGCATCTCTTGTATATTTTCATTCATTGTAATTTGTCTAAATGCATTTCAACCTTAAAATTCTGCTCTAACTAATCAAAAATTCATATGTACAAGACTAGTTTGAATATGTAACAGGCTTGTATGTACATGTTGGATAGGAGTGAGTGGAGACAGGTAGTTTTTATGATTTGATGTGCTGTTCGAGCAAGGTAACACTTATGAAGGAATTCAGGGAAACCAGTTAGCCAGACTTTAGTCATAAAGGCAGGAAGTACAGTGCCTGCTCTCAGGAGGGGTGGGATGTTACAGCTCAGAGTCATCTGAGCTGTGATCTCAGCACATTTCTGGCAAAATAGTGATTGACTGATGGTGAAAGGGCTTCCTTTTTTTGGGTCACTATTTTGCTGGGAAACAGCCAGTGTATTAAAAAAAAAATTGGCTTGTACTATGACTTCCTGAAACCTTCCTCCTTGCCTTGTCAGGTATTTATTTAGTCCTTGTACAACAGTTTTTTCCACTGCTATTGCTAATATTTCAATTGCCAATTCAATCACCAGTAAATAAAATTTTCATATTTTCTGATGAATAAACTTCTTTTCCAGGTTTTTTAACTAAGGCAAAGAAAAAGTTACTGAATGAAGATGAGCCAGATTTTGCGTCACCACGAGGACGCACTCCCTCTGATGGTGACACTGTGGAGTATGAGCCTAATAACCCATGGAACTGGGATCCTCCACCTTTGGGTAGGTGTTTCATTTTGAAGCTAGTCACAGATATGACAGACATATTCATCCAAAACCTGCACTTAGGAATGTTATGACATTTCATACCATCCTGCACCATTACCGAGTCAGTTACGATTTGACACTGGTCTAAGACAGACCAGAACATCTTCGTAGGGTTCCTCTCCTAAGTATATGTTTTTGGTGAATTGTTCTAGTCACGGTGCTTCTACAAACACAAACATTTATTATGGATAGTGCCAGAGGATTTATCCCTTCACTTCCTTGTTTAATTAGTACACTTTTCACACTTTTTCATTAGTCACTAAAATACTCGACATTTGTATAAATACTCATAGGGTGAGTAAATGGCTTTTAAAGGCACAGTAGTGAGTAGTTTGTTCAGTTATCAGTTACTAGCCTTCCTGTGTACTGCATTTCAGTTATTTTCTCCTAAATTTACTCAGTACTCAATGGTAAATATGACATATTCGTAGAAAATACGCCACAACTTTGTCAGTAGTGTTAATAAATTGCATGTTCATCAATGGTCTACCCTATATGGAAAGAAAGTGATGAAAAAGTAGTGAGTTTTTGAAGGGATGGTTTAGAGTTTGCCAGTTTATTCCCATCTTAGAAGTTGACCCCTAGTTTTGGAACTAAAATTTGAGCTTCAGAACTCAACTTGTACACCAGTTTTTATGGTATATGACCAAGTGGTGAATGAGTTTGGAGAAAAGTTGAGTTAGGCAAAGATGCAATTGTATGACATGGGCAACTATATCTCTTTGGTAATAAAAACAAAAACCTTTTCCACAGGGCCTTCAAGAAGTCATACAGCTCTTTTCAAAAAGATAAGAAGTGCAAGAATAGACTCCTTTGTTGCAGAGACAAACAAATTGCTTATAAGACTAGACAAACTTCTTAAGGATTTACCCAATGATCCTGTGAAAAGAAAAGGTGAGGAAGAGAATGTGTGTTTACCAGGAAACTAATTTAGTAGTTAAGGTTGTAGTATTAAAATAATAATTAAAACATAATTTGTTTACCAACATAATGACCATCTCCCACCGAGGAAGGGTGTCCTGAAAAAGAAAAAATGTGTAGCTTTTCTTTTTTACACTTAATATGTTAAACAGAAGGGGTTACTAGCCCCTTGCTCCCGGCATTTTAGTTGCTTTTTATGACATCCATGGCTTATGGACTTCTGCGCCAACCTTCGTTGGGTGTGGACATATCTCTCTCGCCTGAGTATCAGTGACAAATTTCCCCCGTTCTCACTGGGACGCTTGTCCTCATCTATATAGCCTGCCGGGCACTCTACAGGAGGGGAACCTGTTCATTGGCTTACTTAGCCAGCTCCATTTTTTCCACTCTGCAGGAAATTCTTTAACGGTCTTTGGTGGGAAGCCGGTTACTGAACTCAGGTGGGGGTGTTGGCGTCCCTCTCGGCTGGGGCTTGGCAAGGGGGTCCACCAGATTTAATTGGAAACTTCGAGTTTCTATCTCTATTTACAAAGGAACTTTTGTTACTTTTCTCTCATCGCCCAGCCTTGGGCAACAATTTTTCCTCGTACTATCGAGAAACCGGGCTCGATACAGCTTATGCTGTCAGTGGCCCTGATTCTTCTCCACTTCCCCATGGAGTAAAAAAAAAAAAAAAAAATTTAACACATTAGCTCTCTTCCACTGAGGCAAGGTGACTCAAAAAAAAAAAAAAAAAAACTTTCACCATCATTCATGCATTTTTTTTTTTTTTATCATCTTCCTTTCAGGGTCCGTGCCATAGATCTATGGCTTTATGTTCAGGGTCCAAACCGTAGATCTACGCCATGAGCTCATCTCACTCTGATAAGCTGTGAGTGGTAAATTTGGGCCTAGATATGAGAGAATACATCTCTGTGGCATGTGTGCACCACATAAAACAAATCCTGCAGCACACAGTGTATAATGAGATAAAAAAACTGAGACCGTGATTTTCGATTAAAACAGTGACTTTGCAGTGTTTTTTCATGTGTTTTTTATAGTTCTATTTGTAATTTCTTGGTCTCATTTGATAGAATGGAAGACACATTACAGAAAATAGAGATGATTTTGATTGATTTTAGCACTGGAAATGGCTTGAAACTGAACTCAAAGTAGCGGAAATGTTAAATTTTTGCCGATGTTCAAGAGTAAATAAACAACCTCACACGTCTAATACACGCCAGCTGGTGGGTCTAATATACATTCACAAATGTAGTGATGATATTTATACAATTATTACAATATTGCATAACAGTAAATCTTCTATTTTTTGGTTTGAATAAAAATTCATTAAGTGAATAAAAAATCAAAATGGAATTCACTTGTAAAGCCTCAAAACGTAACTAATGAACAGAGGAAATGTTAGTTTAGTGCCAGGAATACCTACATTGTTTATTCTGGACCCTATTTTGAAATTGGAATATTTTGAACTTTGTATTAAATTGGCCAAATTACCAATTTCCGATCACTTTATTTTGTAGTTGAAACAGTTGACTTGGCGATTTCTTTTGCTCAGTCGGTAGAATAGAAGTAATACTAGTGAAATAGCTAAGAATTTGGTCGACTGAGATAATGTAATTGGCCTAAAATGGGAGTCAAAGTCGGCAAAATCGCCAATTCGTAAATATCGCTGACACATCAAAATTTGCGGGAGCATAATTTCGTCAGTTGTCCATCAAATTTCGTACTTTTTGTTTTATTACCTTCAGAAAAAGATTCTCTACCATTTCATAAGAAAAAATAACAAAAAATATTTTTTTGAAAATTCTTGGACCCTGGTGTGCACTTTGAAATTTAGCCTCTGGACCCTGAAAGGGTTAAACAAGTTGGATGTCTCCCATTGAGGCAGGGTGACCCAAAAAGAAAGAAAATCCCCAAAAGGAAAATATTTTCATCATCATTCAACACTTTTACCTCACTCATACATAATCACAATTTTTGCAGAGGTGCCCAGAACACAACAGTTTAGAAGCATATACGTATAAAGATACACAACATATCCCTCCAAACTGCCAATATCCCAAACCCCTCCTTTGAAGTGCAGGGATTGTACTTCATTTCCAGTACTCAAGTCCGGCTATAAAAAAATAACCGGTTTCCCTGAATCCCTTCACTAAATATTACCCTGCTCACACTCCAACAGCTCGTCAGGTCCCAAATACCACTCGCCTCCATTCACTTCTACCTAACACGCTCACGCATGCTTGCTGGAAGTCCAAACCTCTCGCCCACAAAACCTCCTATACCCCCTCCCTCCAACCTTTTCGAGGACGACCCCTACCCCACCTTCCTTACCCTACAGATTTATACGCTCTCCATGTCAATCTACTTTGATTCATTCTCTCTAAATGACCAAACCACCTCAACAACCCTTCTTCAGCCCTCTGAGTAACACTTTTATTAACTCCACACCTAATTTCCACACTTCGAATTCTCTGCATAATATTTACACCACACGTTGCCCTTAGACAGGACATTTCCACTGCCTCCAGTCGCCTCCTCGCTGCAGCATTTACAACCCAAGCTTCATACCCATATAAAAGTGTTGGTGCCACTATACTTTCATACATTCCCTTCTTTCCTTTCTTTTTATTATTATTTCTGTATGAAATAGTTTGTAGAATATTAGATGACATTTAATAGTATAAGTGGAAAGCCCCTGGTTATGCAGATTATTTCGGGTAAGCTAAATCCAAACAAAGTAAGACATTTAATGTTCCCAAGAGTGATTATTATTATGTATTAGTATTATTACTGTGGCATTAAGACTAGAGGGACACTAAGAGTGATTTTAATGTGTAACTGCACACCAGCACAGTGTGTAAGTTTATTTAGGTACAGGTACACATAAGTATAATTATCAGAGTACATACAAAACACACAATAGCTTTAAAACTCTAGAAATTTTGGAAAGTTTCCAGACATAATGGAGATGTGCTCACAGAGAATGTAAACAAACCGGGTGGGGCGCGGTGACCGTATTAGAGAGACAGGGAGCCATATAGCGAGTTTTGGTCATAACTTGAAATGTCCTTATTAGTGGAACGCCGTAAAGCGGGGCCCTATTGTACTCACAAGAGGGTTTTATTAGGCTAATACTGTATGTAGCAGTCTTCCTCAGATGTTTTTTAATTTAATTATTGTCTACAATTTACAAGATTATATACTGTACAGTTTTTTTTATAGTTTTATGGAATATCATATACATATATATTGGCAAGAATAAAATGTTCTAGAACTTCTTAGTTTTATAAAAGAAACGCTAAACCATATATGGTACGTTCTCTTTTTTTTCATGGAGAAAAATGTTGAAACAATGTTTTGATATAGTTTTGTGTAAAAGATTTAGCATGCACTTGTACCCATGGTTCATTTTTCATCATATTTTCTGTTCTTTTGTATTTTTCCCCATAATTATTATTTTCTTTTGCAGTACATTATTACTGGTCATTCACCTAATTTCATCATTGAATGGACACTAAAAAATTATACAGTATCTTTATCCTTTTTTTCCTTAAATAGTAGTAAGTTGCTAATTGAGAGAATTTTTTTCCATTAAGGTCTATACTGTATAAGTTTTGCAAAGATGAGTTAACACTTTATTTGCTTTATTCACAACATTTTGGGCCTACTTAAACTAGCAGTAAAACTAATTAATAAACTTGTAGTTTTTTTCTTTTATATTTATTTACCTGACAATGGAATGTGAGCAGGGTAATGTTTTGTGAAGGGATTCAGGAAAACCGGTTAGCCGGACTTAAGTCCTGGAGGTGGGAAGTACAATGCCTGCACTTTAAAGGAGGAGTTTGGGATATTGGCTGTTTGGAGTGGCATCTAAACTGTCTTATCTGGGCACCTCTGCAGTGACAGTGATTGTGTGAATGATGGTGAAAATGTTTTTCTTTTTGGGGTTACTTTGCTTCAGTGGGAGATGGCTGGCATGTTGAAAAAAAATAAACAAGTTAAACATACAATATCATACTGGAATAATTAAAAATTCATAAGGGTATAATAGTGATCTTAAATACATACATATAAATGTTAGGTTTAAAAGGCACTTTGCTAGCCTCTACTGCCACAATTCCAGAGAGTAGTTACAAAACAATAAAAGTATTTATTACTTAGACTATTTAGTTCAAGGATCATTAGCAAGACTACCTAAAATCTTCAGAAGTGTCTTATAATGTGGCTTTGAATGATGAGAATTGTAGGATTTTTTTGAATGTTGAGGCTCGTTACAAATTACCATTATTGACTTGTACAGTAACTTGGTTGTAATAGCTAATTACAAAAATAAACTATCCAAAATTCATGTTATTTGAATAATAATCTGTGATTCTGGCAAATTTTCAGGTAATTGACATCACTATTTCAGCCACATTTAGTAGTACAGTGGACCCCCGCATAGCAACCTTAATCCGTGCAAGAGGGCTGGCTGTTATGCGAAATGTTCGCTATGTGAATGAATTTTCCCCATAAGAAATAATGGAAATAAAATTAATCCGTGCAAGACACCCAAAAGTATGAAAAAAAATTTTTTTTACCACAAAAAAATGTTAATTTTAGTACACACAAACTGAAAAAGGCATGCACAATTACATGACACTTACTTTTATTGAAGATCTGGTGATGATTGATGGGATGGGAGGAGGGGAGAGAGAGTGTTAGTGTTTAGAAGGGGAATCCCCTTCCATTAAGACTTGAGGAGGCAAGTCCTTTTCTGGGGTTACTTCCCTTCTTCTTTTAATGCCACTAGGACCAGCTTCAGAGTCACTGGACTTCTTTCGCACAACATATCTGTCCATAGTGGCCTGTACCTCTCGTTCCTTTATGATTTGTCTAAAGTGGTTCACAACATTGTCATTGTAACAGTCACCAGCACGGCTTGCAATAGCTGTGTGAGGGTGATTTTCATCAAAAAAGGTTTGCACTTCAAGCCATTTTGCACACATTTCCTTAATCTTTGAAGTAGGCAATTCCTTCAATTTCTCTCTCCCCTCCTTTGAACCAGTTTCCGCAGGTCTGGCCTCTTGCTCTTGAAGTTGATCTATCAGCTCATCAGTGGTTAGTTCTTCATTGTCCTCCTCCACCAACTCTTCCACATCATCCCCACTAACCTCCAACCCCAAGGACTTCCCCAATGCCACAATTGATTCCTCAACTGGTATACTCCTCTCAGGGTTAGCCTCAAACCCTTCAAAATCCCTTTTGTCTACACATTCTGGCCACAGTTTCTTCCAAGCAGAGTTCAAGGTTCTCTTAGTCACTCCCTCCCAAGCCTTACCTATAAGGTTTACACAATTGAGGATATTAAAGTGATCCTTCCAAAACTCTTTTAGAGTCAATCGAGTGTCTGTGGTCACTTCAAAGCACTTTTGAAACAGAGCTTTTGTGTACAGTTTCTTGAAGTTGGAAATGACCTGCTGGTCCATGGGCTGCAGGAGAGGAGTGGTATTAGGAGGCAAAAACCTCACCTTAATGAAGCTCATGTCCCCATAAAGTCGCTCTGCCACGTCTGTAGGATGACCAGGGCATTGTCTAACACCAGGAGGCACTTAAGTTCTAATTTCTTTTCAGTTAGGTAATCTTTGACATTGGGGGCAAATGCATGGTGTAACCAGTTATAGAAAAAGTCCTAGTGACCCATGCCTTACTGTTTGATCTCCACAGCACACACAAATTATCCTTGAGGACATTCTTTTGCCTGAACGCTCTGGGAGTTTCAGAGTGATACACTAATAAAGGCTTCACTTTGCAATCACCAGTAGCATTGGCACACATGAGAAGAGTAAGCCTGTCTTTCATAGGCTTTATGTCCTGGGAGTGCCTTTTCCTCCTGAGTAATGTAGGTCCTGCTTGGCATTTTCTTCCAGAACAGGCCTGTTTCATCACAATTAAACACTTGTTCAGGTTTCAGTCCTTCAGTTTCTATGTACTCCTTGAATTCCTGCACATATTTTTCAGCCGCTTTTGTGGTCCGAACTGGCAGCCTCACCATGCCTTATCACACTATGGATGCCACTACGCTTCTTAAATCTCTCAAACCAACCTTTGCTGGCCTTAAATTCACTCACATCATCACTAGTTGCAGGCATTTTTTTAATTAAATCCTCATGCAACTTCCTAGCCTTTTCACATATGATCGCTTGAGAGACGCTATCTCCTGCTAGCTGTTTTTCATTTATCCACACCAATAAGAGTCTCTCAACATCTTCCATCACTTGCGATCTTTGTTTCGAAAACACAGTTAAACCTTTGGCAAGAACAGCTTCCTTGATTGCCGTTTTCTTGGCCACAATAGAAGAGATGGTTGATTTGGGTTTCTTGTACAACCTGACCAGGTCGGTGATACGCACTCCACTTTCATACTTATCAATGATCTCTTTCTTCATTTCTATAGGAATTTCTAACCCTTATTGCTGTAGGGTTGGAACTAGAAGCTTTCTTGGGGCCCATGGTCACTTATTTTCCAGAAACAGCACCGAAAACACTGTAATAATACGAAATATTCCGATTGTATGCTTGAATGTTACCGCGGAGGCTGGCTGGTAAACAATGCCACCGGCGGAACATATGAGGCTGGCTCAGGCCGCACATTGGATGCGTCTCGGACGAAGGCCGCTGAGCGGGTTTTTGGGCGCTATGCGGGGCAAAATTTTAGCGATCAAAGCGTCCGCTATGCGGATTGTCCGTTATGCAAGGCGTCCGTTATGCGGGGGTCCACTGTACTTGCAATGCTGCCAGAGAAGAACCCTGAAATGTATAGAGGTAGTCCGTTTAATCTACAGCTTTTGATGTTGCTGCTTATTTGAATTTGGATATGATTGTGCAGTAAAATATAAAATGGGCTATGTTGTGTGGGAGAGTCTCAAGAGTGGTGGTTCAATTAGGATAACATTAAGAAATTGCAGAAAAATCATTAAAATGCTCTACTGTATACATAATATAATACTGTATACACAATTGACAGGGATACAGCAATAAACATTAAATTATGCAAATTAAAGGTACAGTGGATTTGGCCTTATTTCAGTTCATTATGGTGACTTTCATTCTACTCGGAGTTTATTATATTTTATGTTAAATCTGTCATTCACAGTTATAATTTTTTTTTTTTTTTTTTTTTTTTGTGTATCATACTTAATTTGTATGAGCACTGAGTGACCTGCATGGTCAAAGTACTCTGTAAATACCACAACCACCATAATTATTTGACATTGTTACAGCCCATGAGCGCAGCATTGTCATGTGGGCAGAGGACAAAGATGTCCCACTCTGCCCATTCTGTGCTCGGTCGTTCAACTTGGCCCGCCGCCGCCACCACTGCCGTCTATGTGGAGGCATCATGTGTGATGAGTGTTCACATTTTCTGACCTTTGATTATGCAAGTAAGCTTTTGGATACTTTTTTTCCAGGTTGCTTGAAAATTGCAGCTTATTAAGGAGAGGTCTGCTTAATTTGTATTAGATGAAATCTTTTATACTGGAAGTAATATTTTTTAAGAATGGAAATAGTGGACTTGGATTATAGAATGAATAGATGATGATTGCTGAGCTGTAATATTAGAGTGGGCTGTGAAGTATTGTAAAATTACAAAACTCATGCGCAGCTCTTTAAATAAACTGTTGAAACTGGACTCAGATTGTTATGTAAAGCTCAAAGAATAGTGCAAGACAGAAAAAGAATTAATCCTTGTATGTGCTGATGATACTGTGCTTTTGGGAGATTCTAAAAAGAAGCTGCAAAGGTTAGTGGACGAGTTTGGGAGGGTGTGTCAAGGTAGAAAGTTGAAAGTGAACATAGATAAGAGTAATTTGATGAGAGTATCAAATGATTTAGATAAAGTAAAACTGGATATCACATTGGAGAGAGGGAGTACGGAAGAAGTGAATGTTTTCAGATATTTGGAAGTTGACTTGTCAGCAGATAGGTTTATGAAGGATGAGGTTAACCATAGAATTGATGAAGGAAAAAAGTTGAGTGGTGCGTTGAGGTATCTGTGGAGTCAAAAAACATTATCCATGAAGGCAAAGAAGGGAATTCACAAAAGTATAGTTGTACCGACACTCTTGTATGGGTGTGAAGCTTGGGTTGCAAATGCTGCAGCGAGGAGGTGGCTGGAGGCAGTGGAAATGTCTTGTCTAAGGGCAATGTGTGGTGTAAATATTATGCAGAGAATTTGGATTGTGCAAATTAGAAGGAGGTGAGAGTTACTAAAAGTATTAGTTAGAGGGCTGGTGAGGGGTTGTTGAAGTGGTTTGGTCATTTAGAATGGATCAAAGTAGAATGAATTGGAGAGTGTATAAATCTGTAGGAAAGGAAGGCAGGGTAGGGTTCATCCTCGAAAAGGTTGGAGGAAGGGGGTAAAGGAGGTTTTGTGGGTGAGGTGCTTGGACTTCCAGCAAGCATGTTAGAAAGGAGTGAATGGAGACGAATGTTGGAGTGTGAACCGGTTTCCCTGAATCCCATCATAAATGTTACCCTGCTCACACTCCAATAGTATGTCAAGACTTGAAAACTATTTGCCTCTATTTGCTCTTATCTAACACTCACTCATGCTGGAAGTCCAGGCCCGTCTCTTACAAAACCTCCTTTACCCCCTCCCTCCAACCTTTCCTAGACCGATCTCTACCCCGCCTTCCCTCCACTACAGATTTATACGCTCTCGAAATCATTCTATTTTATTCCACCCTCTCTGCATGTCCGAACCACCTCAACAACCCCTCCTTAGCTCTCTGGATAATAGTTTTAGTAATCTGCACCCCCTCCTAATTTCCAGACTACAAATTCTTTGCATTATGTTCACACCACACATTGCCCTCAGACATGACACCTCCACTTCATCCAGCCTTCTCCTTGTTGATGAGGCCACTCTAGTATGGATTGCAGTATCATGGTCAACAAAGGTAGGAAGTAGCCAGGAAAAAAGATTCATGAAAGTTTGAAGGAAGTGATGCAGTTTTGTAAGGAAAGTTGAGCTTGATCAGCTTAGTTTTTAATGAGATATTAACCATCAGTTAGCTTCTAGCAGAGCAAAGGTTTATGAAGTGTAAGGAGAGTAAAGCTAAGGAATTTGGAAATATAAAATGAGACAGATAAATAATTGAATTATATCTGACATTAAAACTTTATTAAATTATGGCTATATGTATTTTACAAGATTTAAGATTAGATACTTAACATGGAAAAGCAATGATAAAAGTGGAATGATTAAGATGTTTTGCATTTTTAATTCATTACTCATTCTACATAAAAATCCTTCTGGGTAGATGCCAGATTTTTCCACTAATCTGGTTTCTGGCACTTAGTCATCTTTTGAATGAATAATATGGCTTTTTCATATTATTTAGTGGAAGATATCCAGTGATGCAAAAAAAAACAAAAAAAAAATGGTGATAAAATATTTTTTCTACAGAAAAGCTTGTAAGTCCAGTTCATCAAGGCAGCCAAGATCAGACACCAGCATTAAGTACAAGCAGTGGGGCAGGCTCAGGCATGTCTTCCTTACTCTCGGGCATCTCGGGTCTGCGTCGCTCTGGCTCTCAGGGTTCTCTTAATTCTCTTCTTTCTGTGATGGATTCCATGACGGCAGAGCAACACTTCCGCACCTGTACACACTGTATGACGGTAGGGAATTCTCGTGTTATACTATAGTTTTGGAGTGGTTGGTGCAATTATTTAATAAATGTATGGAAGAGGGTAAGGTACCTAGGGATTGGCAGAGAGCATGCATAGTTCCTTTGTATAAAGGCAAAGGGGATAAAAGAGAGTGCAAAAATTATAGGGGGATAAGTCTGTTGAGTGTACCTGGTAAAGTGTATGGTAGAGTTATAATTGAAAGAATTAAGAGTAAGACGGAGAATAGGATAGCAGATGAACAAGGAGGCTTTAGGAAAGGTAGGGGGTGTGTGGACCAGGTGTTTACAGTGAAACATATAAGTGAACAGTATTTAGATAAGGCTAAAGAGGTCTTTGTGGCATTTATGGATTTGGAAAAGGCGTATGACAGGGTGGATAGGGGGGCAATGTGGCAGATGTTGCAAGTGTATGGTGTAGGAGGTAGGTTACTGAAAGCAGTGAAGAGTTTTTACGAGGATAGTGAGGCTCAAGTTAGAGTATGTAGGAAAGAGGGAAATTTTTTCCCAGTAAAAGTAGGCCTTAGACAAGGATGTGTGATGTCACCGTGGTTGTTTAATATATTTATAGATGGGGTTGTAAGAGAAGTAAATGCGAGGGTCTTGGCAAGAGGCATGGAGTTAAAAGATAAAGAATCACACACAAAGTGGGAGTTGTCACAGCTGCTCTTTGCTGATGACACTGTGCTCTTGGGAGATTCTGAAGAGAAGTTGCAGAGATTGGTGGATGAATTTGGTAGGGTGTGCAAAAGAAGAAAATTAAAGGTGAATACAGGAAAGAGTAAGGTTATGAGGATAACAAAAAGATTAGGTGGTGAAAGATTGAATATCAGATTGGAGGGAGAGAGTATGGAGGAGGTGAACGTATTCAGATATTTGGGAGTGGACGTGTCAGCGGATGGGTCTATGAAAGATGAGGTGAATCATAGAATTGATGAGGGAAAAAGAGTGAGTGGTGCACTTAGGAGTCTGTGGAGACAAAGAACTTTGTCCTTGGAGGCAAAGAGGGGAATGTATGAGAGTATAGTTTTACCAACGCTCTTATATGGGTGTGAAGCGTGGGTGATGAATGTTGCAGCGAGGAGAAGGCTGGAGGCAGTGGAGATGTCATGTCTGAGGGCAATGTGTGGTGTGAATATAATGCAGAGAATTCGTAGTTTGGAAGTTAGGAGGAGGTGCGGGATTACCAAAACTGTTGTCCAGAGGGCTGAGGAAGGGTTGTTGAGGTGGTTTCGGACATGTAGAGAGAATGGAGCGAAACAGAATGACTTCAAGAGTGTATCAGTCTGTAGTGGAAGGAAGGCGGGGTAGGGGTCGGCCTAGGAAGGGTTGGAGGGAGGGGGTAAAGGAGGTTTTGTGTGCGAGGGGCTTGGACTTCCAGCAGGCATGCGTGAGCGTGTTTGATAGGAGTGAATGGAGACAAATGGTTTTTAATACTTGACGTGCTGTTGGAGTGTGAGCAAAGTAACATTTATGAAGGGATTCAGGGAAACCGGCAGGCCGGACTTGAGTCCTGGAGATGGGAAGTACAGTGCCTGCACTCTGAAGGAGGGGTGTTAATGTTGCAGTTTAAAAACTGTAGTGTAAAGCACCCTTCTGGCAAGACAGTGATGGAATGAATGATGGTGAAAGTTTTTCTTTTTCGGGCCACCCTGCCTTGGTGGGAATCGGCCGGTGTGATAATAAAAATAATAAAAGTTTATTTCAACATGATAGTGTTTATACAGGCATGGTTGATACTGGAGTACATGTTGAAAGAAAGCACTTGATTATACAGAGCATTTTTGGTAAACAGTTTACTTATTTTTATAGTGAAACCAGTAGCCAAGCTTAAGTTGTACATGTATTAGGATGAAGTATGGTGCCTGCACTTGGAAGGATGGGTGGGGATGTTGCAGTTTGCATTTTTGGGATTGTGATGGCTGTGCACTTCTAAATAGGCAACAAGTGAAGGAATAATGGTAAATAATTTTTTTCCTTTAACCTTTAAACTGTCTAAATGTAGATCTACGTTTGCACCGCTAGCACTCCGAACGTAGATCTACGTTTTATTTTACATGCTTTCAAATGTAAAAGAAAACGTAAATCTACATTTGGACCGCTAGCAGTGCAAACATAGATCTACGTTTGGACAGTTTAAGGGTTAAGTCACCCTGATTGGTGGGAAATACTTAATGTGTGAACTCTTATAGCATATCGCTAGTAATCCAAAATCAAATTAAAATGCACTATTTAAATAATGCTTAAGCACTAGGATGTTCCACTGATAGCGGACAGAAGAGTGATTTCTGAATTTATTTTGCTACCGCTGTTTTTTTTTTTTTTTTTTTTTTTTTTTTATGTGGTTCATTTAGAGGTCCTCCAATAACACCAACTTTTCACCCTATTATTTTTATATACCCAGGGGGGTACTACTGTCCTGCCAAGTGAGTGTGAAAATTGTTTTACATGATGGTAGGATTGCTGATGTCTTTTGTTTGTCTCATAAATATGCAAGATTACAGGTATGTCTTGCTACTTCTTCTTACACTTAGGTCACACTATACATAATGTACATGTTTGTTTATACACACTCATCTGAGTTTTCTTTGATTTTATCTTAATAGTTCTTGGTCTTGTTACTTTTCCTTTTATGTCCATGGGGAAGTGGAATAAGAATCTTTCCTCCGTAAGCCATGCATGTTGTAAAAGTCAACTAAAATGCCGGGAACAGTGGGCTAGTAACCCCTTTTCCTGTAATAATTACCAAAAAGAATAAGAAGAAAATTGTCAAAGTGGGAAGTCTGTGCGTGGATGTTGTGCAAATGATAGAGATGATTGTGGATATTATGAATGAGAAGCTGGATGTCCTGGCTTTAATTAAACAAAGCTGAAGGGGTGGGAGAGTTTCAGTGCAGAGGAATAAATGGGATTAGGTCAGGGATTTCAAATAGTTAGAGCTAAAGAAGGAGTAGCAATAATGTTGAAGGATAAGTTATGGCAGGAAAAGAGGGACTATTAAATGTATTAATTCAAGGATTATGTGGAGTAAAATAAAGGTTGGATGTGAAAAGTGGGTTATAGTAAGCATATATGCACTTGAAGAAGAGAGAAGTGTAGAGGAGAGAGATTTTGGGAAATGTTGAGTGAATGCATGGGGAGTTTTGAACCAAGTGTGAGAGTAATGGTGGATGGGGATTTCATTGCTAAAGTGGGCAAAAATGTTGTGGAGGAAGTAGTAGGTAAATTTGGGGTGCCAGGAGTAAATGAAAATGGGGAGCCTTTAATTGAGATAATGTGTAGAATGAGGTTTGGTAATAAGTAATACATATTGTATGAAGAAGAGGATAAATAAATATACAAGGTATGATATCGCACGTGATGAAAGTAGTTTGTTAGATTATGTATTGGTGGATAAAAGGTTGATGGGTAGGCTCCAGGATGTACATGTTTATAGAGGGGCAACTGATATATCGGATCATTATTTAGTTGTAGCTACAGTTAGAGTAAGAGGTAGATGGGAAAAGAGGAAAATGGCAACAACAAGCAAGTGAAAGTGTATAAACTAAGGAAGGAGGAAGTTTGGGTGAGATATAAGCAACTATTGGCAGAAAGGTGAGCTGGTGCAAGTATGAGTAGTGTGGGGGAGGGGGGTTGAAGAGGGTTGGAATAGTTTTAAAAATGCAGTATTAGAATGTGGGGCAGAAGTTTGTGGTTATAGGAGGGTGGGTGCAGGAGGAAAGAGGAGTAATTGGTGGAATGATGAAGTAAAGGGTGTGATAAAAGAGAAAAAGTTAGCTTATGAGAGGTTTTTACAAAGCAGAAGTGTTATAAGAAGAGTAGAGTATATGGAGAGTAAAAGAAAGGTGAAGAGAGTGGTGAGAGAGTGCAAAAGGAGAGCAGATGATAGAGTGGGAGAGGCACTGTCAAGAAATTTTCATGAAAATAAGAAAAATTTTTGGAGTGAGTTAAACAAGTTAAGAAAGCCTAGAGAACAAATGGATTTGTCAGTTAAAAACAGAGTAGTGGAGTTAGTAGATGGGGAGATGGAGGTTTTGGGTAGATGACGAGAATATTTTGAGGAACTTTTAAATGTCGACGAAGAAAGGGAAGCGGTCATTTCATGCACTGGCCAGGGAGGTATAACATCTTTAGGATTGAAGAAGAACAGGATGTGAGTGTGGGGGAGGTGCGTGAGGCATTACGTAGAATGAAAGGGGGTAAACCAGCTGGAACTGACGGGATCATGACAGAAATGTTAAAAGCAGGGGGGGATATAGTGTTGGAGTGGTTGGTATTTTTGTTTAATAAATGTATTTTCATATAGTCGGACTTGAGTCCTGGAAATGGGAAGTACAATGCCTGCACTTTAAAGGAGGGGTTTGGGATATTGGCAGTTTGGAGGGATATGTTGTGTATCTTTATATGTGTATGCTTCTAAACTGTTGTATTCTGAGCACCTCTGCAAAAACAGTGATAATGTGTGAGTGTGGTGAAAGTGTTGAATGATGATGAAAGTATTTTCTTTTTGGGGATTTTCTTTCTTTTTTGGGTCACCCTGCCTCGGTGGGAGATGGCCGACTCGTTGAAAAAAAAAAAAGTATGAAAGAGGGGAAGGTACCTAGGGATTGGCAGAGAGCATGTATAGTCCCTTTATATTAAGGGAAAGGGGGCAAAAGAAATAGTAAAAATTATAGTGGAATAAGTTTACTGAGTATACCAGGAAAAGTTCTAGGTAGTAGGTTGGTAGACAGCAACCGCCCAGGGAGGTACTACCGTCCTGCCAAGTGAGTGTAAAGCGAAAGCCTGTAATTGTTTTACATGATGGTAGGATTGCTGGTGAAGGGATTCAGGGAAACCGGTTATTTTTATATAGCCGGGCTTGAGTCCTGGAAATGGGAAGTACAATGCCTGCACTCTAAGGGAGGGGTTGGGATATTAGCAGTTGGGAGGGATATGTTGTGTATCTTTATACGTATATGCTTCTAAACTGTTGTGTTCTGAGCACCTCTGCAAAAACAGTGATTATGTGTGAGTGAGGTGAAAGTGTTGAATGATGATGAAAGTATTTTCTTTTTGGGGATTTTTTCTTTTTGGGTCACCCTGCCTCGGTGGGAGACGGCCGACTTGTTAAAAAAAAAAAAATTTTTTAATGCTTATTAATTTGTAGTATTTTTGTTTATTATTTTTAATAATACGCATTTTTAATATTTTTACTTGTTATTATTGATACTTTGGCCATAGAAGTAAAGGTATACATTGATAAATTTATCATATATCCTAGTGACCTGCTCCATTGCTTACTTAGTTGTTTAGGATGCCTTCTGTGTACAGTACTCTTCAGGGGGTGTTATGATTCTGGGGGTGTTATGATTCTGAAGGACTCTATGCCCTAAAAATTAGAGATACCTTTTATTTCCACAGATCAAATCTGATTGTCTCTCATCTCCAGGTGCTGTATAACCCTTACAGGTTTAGTGCCTCCTATCAGTATTGGACAATGGATTTTTTCCAAAAGTATAATTTGGAGTGCTAGGGAACGGGTGTTGAGGTGGTTTTGTCATTTAGAGATGATGGAGCAGAATAGATCACTTAGAAAGAAGAGGAATAGGGGTCATCCCATCCTGTCCCATTTGCTCTCATCTAACACACTCATGCTCTCTCTAAGCTTGTTGGATACTCAAGCATGTACAGTATAAGCAACTATGGTATCATCACTTATCCCTGCCTAAGGTCTGCTTTTAATGTAGAACAGACACCATCTCTCCTACATGTCTTAACCTGTGCCTCAATCTCTCCATAAAATTTCAACTACTTTTAATAATGTTTTATCTATTCTAAAAAATAAAATGAAAATTCTTCACTAATTTAAGGACAGTGTGTATATAGCTTTTCTGGAGACTTTGAACTCTGTCACAACAACCTTAGTACTTATTCTACTTTCCAGTTTTCTAAGCATGTGTATTTTCTACTGAATTGACAGTGCAGGGATACCTGTTGCAGGACTACGACATGTACCAGGGCTTGTAGCTCTTGTCATGTTTTGTACTTGTGTTTTGCCTGAAACCCTGTTATGGACAATAGGTGTGGAATTACTATCCTAAAAAAATTGGTATTATAAGTCTGAATGTGGGTGAAAAACTGCTGTCAAGAAATTGCATTTTTTTAGCATGGGACAGCCCTGTGAGGTGGTAGTAGTGGGGGTAGGTAATGCACTAGCAGCTATTATAAATACTGTTACACCATCTTGCCCACACTGTCATACAGATAGCAATTTTCAAGTTAAGCACCAGCGGGCAACCCTTTCAACCATACCGATTCAATTTTAATGGATTTGTTGCTTTAAACAGTTACACAATAAAATCTAAATAGTCTTCTAGTTTGTTTTGAATTTTACTATAATGCATTTTTTTAATTACATATGAATGTTTTTACATAACTGTCTTGTATATATGCTGTGACGAAAGAACCAGTTTAATGTTAATGATTTCACTGTGTAGATACTGTAGTAGATATGGAGTATAAGCAGTTTTGCTATAAAGCTGTATCAAGTACACCTTTTCATATTCCTTATTCCTTTCATCACCAGCGACTCCAAGCCAGGGACAGTCAAATGGAGCAACGTATGTCAAAGCCTACACTTTCCCTCTACTACGAGAAACTGATGGAATACAGATCCCAGATTGAGAGTCTTTTACCTCAGTTTATACGTATGGCAGAGTCATTAAGGTAAGGGCAGGCACTGGCTTGAGAGAATGATATACAGTATTTTAATACCTATTATGTAAAAACCTTTGTGGGGATATTTTATTTTGAGTTTTTCTTTAAGACTCTAGTGACTGTGATTCTAGTACAGTGGTACCTCGGGGTACGAACAGCTCAAAACTTGAACAATTATGCAAGTGCTTTTGTAAGTGTATTTTTGGGGGTCTGAAACAGATTTATCTAATTTACATTATTCCTTATTGGAACAAATTCGCTCAGTATCAGCACTCAAACAGCCTTCTGGAACAAATTAAGTTCGTAACCCGAGGTACCGCTGTACTCAGTAGAATCTTGTATGTCTTGCGAGTTATGGTCCAGGAAGCCTGTGCCTTACTTCAAACATCATTGTGAGTTGAAGAACATGCCAGAAAAATAGGGTTATTTTTCCTGATGCTTTCAAGGCCAAGCAAGTTGTACTTAAATTTTGAGAGTCATCAAAAGTAATTAAGTTTTCCTGCTTTACAATGTAACTGTTGGTGCTCATTCATCTAGAAATGTGTGGGGATTGGGGAAATTTGTGGCCCTAACCAGACCTAGTTGGATGTACTCATGTATGAAGAATAAAACACAATACAGTGAATAGAACAATACACAGATAACCCGCACATAGGAGAATGAAACTTGTGACAATATTTCGGTCTGATTTGGTATGACTAGGTAATGGTCCAAGTCAGACTGAAACATCATCATAAGTATGATTCTCCTACATGTGAGTTATTTGTTTACTCTAGCATGGTTTATAATAATATACCTGTAGCTAAAATAACAACATGGAAAGCATATAAATCTATAGGGGAAGGAAAGAGGGGTAGGGGTCGTCCTCGAAAGGGTTGGAAAGAGGGGGTAAAGGAGGTTTTGTGGGCGAGGGGCTTGGACTTCCAGCAAGCGTGCATGAGCGTGTTAGGTAGGAGTGAATGGAGACGAATGATACTTGGGACCTGACGATCTGTTGGAGTGTGAGCAGGGTAATATTTAGTGAAGGGATTCAGGGAAACCGGTTATTTTCATATAGTCGGACTTGAGTCCTGGAAATGGGAAGTACAGTGCCTGCACTTTGAAGGAGGGGTTTGGGATATTGGCAGTTTGGAGGGATATGTTGTGTATCTTTATACGTATATGCTTCTAAACTGTTGTATTCTGAGCACCTCTGCAAAAGCAGTGATAATGTGTGAGTGTGGTGAAAGTGTTGAATGATGAAAGTATTTTCTTTTTGGGGATTTTCTTTCTTTTTTTTTGGGTCACCCTGCCTCGGTGGGAGACGACCGACTTGTTGAAAAAAAAAAAAAAAAAAAAAATACCAATTTTCTAGTTGCTGGTACTTGTTAATATTAAAGTATTGTCAATAAGTGGAACAAACTTCCAAATAGTCATCGAAGCTAACATCTTTGGTAGTTCTTTCTTTTAACACACCAGCTGTATCCCACTGAGGTGGGGTGGCCCAAAAAGAAAAACAAAAGTTTCTCGTTTGAAATTTAGTAATAGTATATACAGGAGAAGGGGTTACTAGCCCCTTGCTCCTGGCATTTTAGTCGCCTCTTACAACACACATAGCTTACGGAGGAAGAATTCTGTTCCACTTCCCCATGGAGATAAGAGGAAATAAAAAAGAACAAGAACTAGAAAGAAAATTAGAAGAAAACCCAGAGGGGTGTGTATATATATGCTTGTACATGTATGTGTAGTGTGACTTAAGTGTAAGTAGAAGTAGCAAGACATACCTGAAATCTTGCATGTTTATAAGACAGACAAAAAACACCAGCAATCCTACCATCATGTAAAACAATTACAGGCTCTTGTTTTACACTCACTTGGCAGGACGGTAGTACCTCCCTGGGCGGTTGCTGTCTACCAACCTACTACCTAGGATCTTTGGTAGTTATAAAAATAAATTTAACAACACGAGTGAAAAGAATTGTTCGAGACAAACCTGCTTAGCATGGGCCAGTAGGCCTTCTGCAGTGCTCCTTTGTCTTATTTAGGAAATCAGTGGTTTAGTGATTTATTTGCATATGAATGGCTAGGTACAGTCTTCTGCAATGCTTTTATTTAGGAAAGTAATGCTTCTAGATATGTCAGGGTCCTGTTCATCAAAAGGCTGCATGTTTACCAACTCCATGAAACTCGCAAAAATAATTTCTAATTCGTCAGTGAAATTCCCCCCCATATCCTTATTTTTTCTCAGGCTTTATGGTGGGATTGACCAGTCACTTTCCAGCACAGTTAGGACTCCAGATCTATCCAGATCTATATTTCAGTCGCAGTTTATCAAAAACAATATCCTTGATTAATGATGCGTGGAATTTGATTAAATATAATGGAACAGTAAGGCAAACCCTTAACTTAATGAGAATCTTTTCTGGTATGTCAGGATCCCCTGCTGATATTAAATTACAGCTAGCCCTCCACTTTCATGAGTTCCACTTTCACGAGCTTCAAACTTTCGCGAATGTCCAGCCACCCAATCATATTTACCAAACAAATGTGAGAATAAAGTACATGTATACTGGAAAACGCTTCCTGCCATGTCCCTACTACCCTCTCTTACCCCCTCAACCGGCAACCCGCCAGTCCGCCACTCAGTCAGTGTCCTGTTGTACACGTGTTTGTGTGGTGGTGCAAATTTGGCCCCCAAGTGAGCAGCAACCGCTATTGATGAGCCAACTCCTAAGCGCTCAAAGAAAGTTATTAATCTGGAGGAGAAGGTGAAATTGCTAGACAAGTGTAGGGCAGGTTATTTGAGCAATTCTGCCACTGGAAAATTATTTAATGTAAACAAAAGCACAGTGCGCTCTATCAAGAAAAATGAGGCAAAGATAAGGGTGGCACTAGCATCTACTGCTCCTCTCTCAGCCAAGCAAGTATCACAAGTAAGAAACAGTGTAATGTCTAAAATGGAATCAGCATTATTTGTATGGATTTCAAACCAAAATAGAAAAGGAAATCCCATAGACAGCAATGAGATTTGTGCAGAGGGAAAGACTGTATGATATGTTGGCAAGTGATGAGGTTAACAAAGCTGTGAGGAAGACTGTGGAGTTAGCAAGCTAGTTGGTGGTGAAGGGTTCGAGGACATGCAGGAGGGTGTGGTGAGAGAACTGGTTGTAGAACATGCAGTGGGCCTAAATGATGAAGAATTGTTGGAGATTGTACAGGCAGAGAGTGAGTATGAAGAAGAGGAGTGTGTTGCTGAGGCCAATCAACCTCAAGCCCTCACCCACGAAAACTAGAGCATGCGATGAGAATGACAGTACAGCTCAAACAATTTTTTTGCGACACAGACGCATCAATGTTGAGGGCTTTGATGGTGATGAGCGACATTAATAGAAACATAATTCCCTACTAAATTCTGTTTGTAGATATGAAGAGGAAATGGTCTTAGTTGCCCATCACAATGTTCTTCACAAGGAAGCCTTCCACTACCCCTGCCGCTACCCCTTCCGCCTCACCTGAACCTCAACCCGTGGCAGAATCTGACTCCGTTGCTAACTCTGACTCTAGCAATGTTGGCAGTGATGCTGGCAGTGAAGAGTTAGAATCCACACACTAGACTCCTCATTCCATGCAGTTACTCCATATAATCACCTCCATTCAACTGTCATCAGTAACTGCGAGGCTAACAATCCGTCGTCGTCGTCGTCGTCGTCGTCGTCGTCGTCGTCGTCGTCTGTCTAACCTTACAAGTGGTGAATGTTTTGTTTGTTCATTACACAAATAACCTGCACATAGAAGAGAGGAGCTTATGACGACGTTTTGGTCTGACTTGGATCATGTCTGTGCAATATTTTACGGACACGTGTATATGTACAATATTTTACGACGTTTCATGTGTTTTATGATTGTGGTTCAGTAGGTTAAGGAAGCAGTATTGTTAGGCTAAGTAAATGCTATTATTATATTTCCTTACAGTATATTTGTGTATCAAAACATTCACGAAAGCTGCAGTACAGTATTATACAGTGGACCCTCGACCAGCGATGGCATCGATTAACGATAAATCTGACTAGCGATACATTTTATCGCAAAAATTTTGCCTCGATTAGCGCTAAAAAACTCGACCAACACTATTCGTTCCGTCTGAGACGCGTCCATTTCTGGCCAGTGTTTACAAGCCAGCCAGCCACCGCGGTCGCTTCCAAGCACACAATCGGAACATTTCATATTATCACAGCCATTTTAGTGATTGCACCTGCAAAATAAGTCACCATGGGCCCCAAGAAAGCTTCTAGTGCCAACCCTACAGCAAAAAGGGTGAGAATTACTATGGATATGAAGAATGAGATCATTGCTAAGTATGAAAGTGGAGTGCATGTCTCCGAGCTGGCCAGGCTGTACACAAAACCCCAATCAACCATCGCTACTATTGTGGCCAAGAAAACGGCAATCAAGGAAGCTGTTCTTGCCAGAGGTGCAAATATGTTTTCGAAACTGAGATCGGAAGTGATAGAAGATATTGAGAGACTGTTATTGGTATGGATAAACGAAAAACAGATAGCAGGAGATAGCATCTCTCAAGCGATCATATGTGAAAAGGCTAGGAAGTTGCATGACGATTAATTAGAAAAATGCCAGCAACTAGTGGTGATGTGAGTGAATTTAAGGCCAGCAAAGGTTGGTTTGAGAGATTTAAGAATCGTAGTGGCATACATAGTGTGATAAGGCATGGTGAGGCTGCCAGTTTGGACCAAAAAGCAGCTGAAAAATATGTGCAGGAATTCAAGGAGTACATAGACAGTGAAGGACTGAAACCTGAAAAAGTGTTTAATGGTGACACTGACAATGTTGTGAAACACTTTAGGAATGTCATAAAGGAACGGGAGGTACAGGCCTCTATGGGCAGATATGTTGTGCGACAGAGGTCCAGTGGCATTAAAAGAAGAAGGGAAGTAACCCCGAAAAAGGACTTGCCACCTCAAGTCCTAATGGAAGGGGATTCCCCTTCTAAACACTAAGACCATCAACACACTCCCCTCTTCCCATCCCATCAATCATCACCAGATCTTCAATAAAGGTAAGTGTCATGTAACTGTGCATGTCTTCTTCAGTTTGTGTGTATTAAAATTAATATTTCATGTGTTAAATTTTTTTTTTTCAATACTTTTGGGTGTCTTGCACGGATTAATTTGATTTCCATTATTTCTTTATTATTTTTTTATTATCACACTGGCCGATTCCCACCAAGGCAGGGTGGCCCGAAAAAGAAAAACTTTCACCATCACTCACTCCATCACTGTCTTGCCAGAAGGGTGCTTTACACTACAGTTTTTAAACTGCAACATTAACACCCCTTCTTATGGGGAAAATTAACTTGACTAACGATTATTTTGACTAACGATGAGCTCTCAGGAACGGATTAATAGCGTTAGTCGAGGGTCCACTGTATTTCCCTACATCATATTTGCTCACCAAACATTCACTAATTTTCAAGATTCGTGAGGTTCTTGATCCCCTAACCCTCGCGAATGTGGAGGGCCTCCTGCACTTTTAGTTCAGTATAATGTTACATCTGTAGATGCATAACTAGTCTAATACCAGAAACAAATTTTAGGCATAAAAGAGTTGAGTATTGTTAACTGTAATTGTTTGGAAGGCTTGAAAAGTTTGTACACACAGGTCATGTATCAGGATATTATTTAGGTTTGCATATTTTTGTATTTAGTAACACACACAATGATACTGATAAAATACTCTGTAGGTTAAAATGTGTTAAGAAGGATGTAGAATTTGCTAGCAGTGTATTGTAATTATACTATACATTTTTCAAATGGCCTGAGGGTCTTGTACAAGTTACTTCAGATGAGTGTAACTAGAACCAATACTTATTGTAGAACTGATATACTGTTTGTCAGTTCCAGGAGAGAAAATCTAGGAGAATAGTTAGCAAGATTATTTTTTATGAATCTGTGAAAGATGGAGTACTTACAGAATAATAAATAGTTTGTGAAAAGATAGTAATACCCACTGGTCACTAAAGCCAGTCAAAAGCAGATTAGGCGAGTAAGTACAGTGGACCCCCAGTTAACGATATTTTTTCACTCCAGAAGTACGTTCAGGTACCAGTACTGACCGAATTTGTTCCCATAAGGAATATTGTGAAGTAGATTAGTCCATTTCAGACCCCCAAACATACACGTACAAACGCACTTACATAAATACACTTACATAATTGGTTGCATTCGGAGGTGATCGTTATGCGGGGGTCCACTGTATTGAAATAATATACAGCAGAAAAACTAAAGTCATATGATCATATTTATTTATTTATTTATTTAGTAAATTTAGGCATACAAACAGAGGTACAAAAAATACAGGTAAGAGCAGCATGCCAAAGCCACTTATATGCATAACATTACGGGCTGGCTTAAAATTAACTTAAGATTAACTAAGCAATGATGAAATCAGTGATAAAACATTATTGTAAACAGATAACTATAAAGCACAAATGCGTATTACAAAGACAGTTCATATGGTTGCTTGCATTGCTGTACATTCAGGCGAATGGAGTATTCTGTTAGGTAGTGTATTTAAAAAAATAATAAAGTTAGATTGGGTCCTAGGTTTAACATTTGTGTGATATAATTGTGAGTAACATATAGGATATACAATTTATAAGGTTCATAGCTCGAGTTTTCAGTATGGTGCAATTTGAAGTTAACTTTTCATTTCCAATAGAAGCGCACCATTTCCGTTAAGGCGTGTGAGGACAGAATTCATTTCCACTGGCAGCGGACATTTCTGTTAAGGATTGCCATAGCAGGCAGGCGGGAGACCCATCACTAGAGCAAACCTACTAGGTAGGTCCCTCTCATATCCAACCTCTCTCACTCATAACTAGTGGTCAGGCAGTAAAGTTGTTGCATTATCTGACAGTGTGGATATGGTGGTATAGCCTCTCAATGATTCCATATCACTATGTAATGGGCAGGTCAGTTGTTTTAGTGGTGCTAGGTAGGGTGAAATGGATTTAAACAAAAAGCCTTCCACGTGGATTAATGTATATCATTGTTCAGCTTTTCCTTCTTTTCATAGCTTCATCTCATCTCTGGATATTGATCATAGTATCCAAACAAAGTACAGGTGAAACTGGTGAAGCATGGAAGAAAATTAAGAATGAAATTATATTCTTTCTTTCTTTCAACACACCGGCCGTATCCCACCAAGGCAGGGTGGCCCAAAAAGAAAAACGAAAGTTTCTCTTTTAAATTTAGTAATTTATACGGGAGAAGGGGTTATTAGCCCCTTGCTCCCGGCATTTTAGTTGCCTCTTACAACATGCATGGCTAACGGAGGAAGAATTCTGTTCCACTTCCCCATGGAGATAAGAGGAAATAAACAAGAACAAGAACTAGAAAGAAAATAGAAGAATACCCAGAGGGGTGTGTATATATATGCTTGTACATGTATGTGTAGTGTGACCTAAGTGTAAGTAGAAATAGCAAGACGTACCTGAAATCTTGCATGTTTATGAGACAGAAAAAAGGACACCAGCAATCTTACCATCATGTAAAACAATTACAGGTTTTTGTTTTACATTCACTTGGCAGGACGGTAGTGTACCTCCCTGGGTGGTTGCTGTCTACCAACCTACTACCTAGGATGAAATTATATGCCTATTAAAAAAAAAGAGGTAATTGGGATGCTGAAGGGTGGTGCTCGTTTTATATAGATGACACAGGCATTTGGTGTTAGAGAATCAGTGATTCATTCAAGTCAAGACAATGAGATGAAGGTAAAAGCTTGTCCAATAAGCAATCCTCAATGTGATAGTGGCAAAAATGAGAAATAGGTCATTACTGAATGTGTGGATTGAAAGGAGGAGACACAGCCCAAACACTAGAACACATTAAGTGCTGGATAGTTTAAGCAGTTTAGAATGTGTGATGGGCTGTATAAAGAACTGCAGGGTTAAACAAACCAGAGACATGAGACAGAATACAGCAGGACCCCACTTTACAGCGTTTTGCTAGTACGGACATTTCAGATTATGATCAAAACTTGTTATATGGCTACCCCCCATCTGACTTGCTAATACGGTCACTGCATGCCACTCTTTTTGTTTACATCCTCTGTGACCTCTGTGTTTCTCCATTATATCTGGAAACTTTCCAAAATTTCTAAGTGTTTTAAAGTTATTCCATATTTGATGCATACTCTGATAATTATACTTAAGTGTACCTGTACTTAAATAAACTTACTGTGCTGGCATGCAGGTACACATTAAAATCACTAAGTGTCTCACTAGTCCTGACACCATATTAATAATAATGATAATAATAATACTAATACATAAAAATAATTGCTCTGGGGCACGTTGAATTTTGTATTAATGTTGGTAGAATTACCGACAATATGTAAAGTAAAAGGACACAAGTGCAACTCGTGTGACATTTCATTGTGGCAACCTTTCACTCTCCAGGAACGGTTTGAAAAAGCTCCTGGAGAACGAAACGGTGTCACAATAAAATGTCACATTAGTTGCACTTGTCCTTTTGGTTTACACATTGAACTTTGAAAATTTGAACTTGAAATGAGTGGCTGTGAAATTTGTGCCCCACTTGCTCACTCAAGACCAAAAAATGAAAGAAACCCACTAACTTTCTTTCCCAAAAATAAAAATAGCACTCAGGGGGCAGTGTTTTAATGACCTGGAGGAGATTCAGGCTGAATTGTAGGCTGCACTAAATGCTGTTAGAAAAGAAGAGTTCAAGAATTTTTTCGAGCAGTGGCAGAGGTGCTGGGATAAGTGTATAACTTCCCAAGGAGAATACTTTAAGGAAGGCAACTTCAACTAGGTGATTAGGTAAGCCTATATATTTTTCTCGCAGCAGTCCAGGATCTTTTTGATAGCACCTTGTATGTTTTCAGTGTTTTCAGTTGTGTATCTTTATACGTATATGCTTCTGAACTGTTGTATTCTGAGCACCTCTGCAAAAGCAGTGATAATGTGTGAGTGTGGTGAAAGTGTTGAATGATTATGAAAGTATTTTCTTTTTGGGGATTTTCTTTCTTTTTTGGGTCACCCTGCCTCGGTGGGGGACAGCCGACTTGTTGAAAAAAAAAAAAAAATGTTTTCAGTCCATAAATCTCTTTATGGACTGAAAACATTTTTTTTTTTTTTTTCAGAAACCATTGGTAGTTCAGTTTTCAGGAACATGACCTGTACGAATTATGATTGTCTACTCTATATAAATATTTTGTAACTTGAAGACTGTTTCTCCCCATTTACAGTTGATGCCCTTTTTTCATAAAGTTTGCAGAAATATTCATGTACTGTATGTATATAGGGGAAGAAAATTCAAACAGCTCCAGGTTTTTCCCCGAAGTACATTTATTTTCTTCAAGATAATGGGTTCTCAATCATCACTAGTGATTCTACCTCCATATATTCATGAAAAAGTAATGCATTGCATTATTTTGACAGCTTTGAATTTAATTTTTCACATTTATAAACTTATAACTACATCATCATGTAATTTTAGCTGTGGAGAAACAACATACAGTCTACGAGATGCAGAAGAACTACGAATAAAAATTCTCAAGAAAGGTGACAGCCTGAATTCCATGGCTCAGCGTGTGCGGACCCTGGGTAGCACTACAGGCCAAGACGTGACAGATGCTGCCTCAAGTAATAGCCCTTCTTCAGGCCCACGACAAGAACTTCTGCAGCGTAGAATACAGTCTACTACAACAGGGTTTCTTAAGGAGCATATTCTTAGTCTTCCTAAGCTACCCAGTCACCAGGAGCTAAAGGAAATGCAGGAGAGGAGGAGGTTAGTAAATTCATTTTTAGTTTGTTGATACATATCCTGCTCTGTGTTTTTTTTTTTTTTTTATTTATTTATTGAAGATACTGGGGAGGTAATAGGCAGTAACTGCACTCAGAAGTGGAGATATTACAGTTGGAGGGTAATCTGATTGTGATACCATCTAACATCTGGGAAGAAAAACAGAGTGAATGAATTGTGGCAAATGTGTTTTCTTCTTTGGGTTACCTTGCCTTAGTGGAAGATAGCCATTGAGTTTTTCATTGGGAGAAAGTCTTTTCACATATTTTTAAACTTGTTCAAGTAATTAGTGTTGTATAATGCTGTAATGAATTCAGATTAACAGCTTAGTTTTTTTTTATTATTATTATTAAACAAACCGGCCATATCCCACCAAGGCAGGGTGGCACAAAAAGAAAAACGAAATTTTCTCTTTTTAGATTTAGTAATTTATACAGGAGAAGGGGTTACTAGGCCCTTGCTCCCGGCATTTTAGTCGCCTCTTACAACACGCATGGCTTACGGGGGAAGAATTCTGTTTCACTTCCCCATGGAGATAAGAGGAAATAAACAAGAATAAGAACTAGAAAGAAAATAGAAGAAAACCCAGAGGGGTGTGTGTATATATATATGCTTGTACATGTAGTGTGACCTAAGTGTAAGTAGAAGAAGCAAGATGTACCTGAAATCTTGCATGTTTAAGAGACAGAAAAAAGACACCAGCAATCCTACCATCATGTAAAACAATTACAGACTTTCATTTTACACTCACTTGGCAGGATGGTAGTACCTCCCTGGGTGGTTGCTGTCTACCAACCTACTACCTACAAGCTTAGTTAATATTGGTCATAAATGCTAAAGGAAGGGTTTTGGGATATTAGCAGTTTGGAGGGATATGTTGTGTATCTTTATACGTATATGCTTCTAAACTGTTGTGTTATGAACACCTCTGCAAAAACAGTGATTATGTGTGAGTGAGGTGAAAGTGTTGAATGATGATGAAAGTATTTTTTTGGGGGGATTTTCTTTCTTTTTGGGTCACCCTGCCTCAGTGGGAGATGGCTGACTTGTTGAAAAAAAAAATAATTTTTTTTTTTTTTTTCAACAAGTCGGCCGTCTCCCACCGAGGCAGGGTGACCCCAAAAAAAAAAAAAGAAAATCCCCAAAAAAGAAAATACTTTCATCATCATTCAACACTTTCACCACACTCGCACATTATCACTGTTTTTGCAGAGGTGCTCAGAATACAACAGTCTAGAAGCATACACATATAAAGATACACAACATATCCCTCCAAACTGCCAATATCCCAAACCCCTCCTTTAAAGTGCAGGCATTGTACTTCCCATTTCCAGGACTCAAGTCCGACTATATGAAAATAACCGGTTTCCCTGAATCCCTTCACTAAATATTACCCTGCTCACACTCCAACAGATCGTCAGGTCCCAAGTACCATTCGTCTCCATTCACTCCTATCTAACAACGCTCACGCACGCTTGCTGGAAGTCCAAGCCCCTTGCCCACAAAACCTCCTTTACCCCCTTCTCTCCAACCCTTTCGAGGACGACCCCTACCCGCCTTCCTTCCCCTATAGATTTATATGCTTTCCATGTCATTCTACTTTGATCCATTCTCTCTAAATGACCAAACCACCTCAACAACCCCTTTCTGCCTCTGACTAATACTTTTATTAACTCCACACCTTCTCCTAATTTCCACACTCCGAATTTTCTGCATAATATTTACACCACACATTCCCCTTAAACAGGACATCTCCACTGCCTCCAACCGTCTCCTCGCTGCTGCATTTACCACCCAAGCTTCACACCCATATAAGAGTGTTGGTACTACTATACTTTCATACATTCCCTTCTTTGCCTCCATAGATAACGTTTTTTGACTCCACATATACCTCAACGCACCACTCACCTTTTTTCCCTCATCAATTCTATGATTAACCTCATCCTTCATAAATCCATCCGCCAACACGTCAACTCCCAAGTATCTGAAAACATTCACTTCTTCCATACTCCTCCTCCCCCAATTTGATATCCAATTTTTCTTTATCTAAATCATTTGACACCCTCATCACCTTACTCTTTTCTATGTTCACTTTCAACTTTCTACCTTTACACACATTCCCAAACTCATCCACTAACCTTTGCAATTTTTCTTTAGAATCTCCCATAAGCACAGTATCATCAGCAAAAAGTAACTGTGTCAATTCCCATTTTGAATTTGATTCCCCAAAATTTAATCCCACCCCTCTCCCGAACACCCTAGCATTTACTTCCTTTACAACCCCATCTATAAATATATTAAACAACCATGGTGACATTACACATCCCTATCTAAGACCTACTTTTACCGGGAAGTAGTCTCCCTCTCTTCTACACACCCTAACCTGAGCCTCACTATCCTCATAAAAACTAAATAAATAAATGCTTTATATAATTCTTACGTTTCTGATAAGAATTATGTATTATATAATTCTTGTTCCTAATAGTAAGTAAATTGTCATCCTACTAAACTATTCATTAATTTTGTTTTGTTAATAATTAATAAGGCATTTAAAACTTTAAGTGATAAGTATGATAGACACTGATACTTGAGGACTTAAATGAATTTGCTACATGTATATTGTATATACAAGATTTATGGCTGCTGTGCATCTATTATCTACACAGTGGTTTCATGTTCTACATTGTGTAAAAAATTATTATTCCTTGTTCTGGCACAATGTCTAAAAGGAAGTGTGAAGCACATGATACAATACCTTTAATTTGTGTATCATGGACTACATTGAATTTAAAAGATTTACTTATTGTTCAATTATTGACTATGCTCTTGTGATACTTTCTTAGCAGTCTTTGATGTGATTGACTCTGCAGGAACATTCACATTAGATAAGTACGATACATGTGCAACAGTTTGGTATCTTTACTGCCAAGATGGTTCGTGTGTTTAGCAGGCTTTTTTCAGTGAGAATGCAGAGGTAATTTAAATACTGGAAACAACATAGGTAGTGGCGAGGTACGTATTTATGAGGTTATCAGTCCCTCAGAATTTAAATCACTTATTTATTTCATATGATAAAGCCTGCTAAGATGAAACTTCTCATCAACAGATACCAAACTGTAGCACGAGTGTCTTACTTGTCTGCTTGTTGATATTGTGTTGTATTAATATACTACGTGTAATGATACTTTAACTTTAGCTTATTGCTGGTGGATGGTACATACTGTAAGAGATAAGCTGATGGCTTTGGAGATTTTCTGAGACTTTTCACCAAACTCAAATCTTTGTAAATTATTGAATTTCACGTGCAAGGTGAATGGTCTTACTTGGCTTTTGCAATTCGCTATTATCTTATCTGAAATAAATGTTAAATCCTGAAATACTGTGATGTTTAAATAGAGCAGAGCTTTCAAAATAATACCACATGTGACATAAGACAATTACTTCACTTTGTTTTAAAATTAAAATAATGGCTAGGCACGAGTCTACCTAGATTATATACCAGTAGGAACAGGCCTGCAGGCTGACTAACCAAGTGGGAGGTTTTCCTTGCTTTTGAGGCCTATCAATTCTCTTCCTCTAACTTGAGTTGGGACATGCTTCCTGTACCTAAATGACTAATGAGATACAGAAACAAGGCAGCATTCAGGGAAGTTGCCTTCCCCCCCCCCCCCTCCCCACCTTTCAGTTCAACAGGCATATTGGCAATGTATTATGTGATCTTCCTGTATTGTTATGTGAAAATCTATTTAAAAGTTTGTGTACATCCATTGTAAGTCATAAGGAGATGATTTTGATTAGTCAGACAGTTACTTTGTTGCTCAGGCAACAAAAGATAAACATTTATGCAAATATTTTAGTTTTCCATGTGGCATGGAGCAAGGTTGATAGAGAAATAGTGTCCCTTCACTGATGCCAGACTGGAGGCTGAAGCTCGATTAGCAGCAGACAAGGAAGCACGGCGTAAAGCAGAGGAGCATGCAGCCGAGATCTTGCGTCGCAGGGACCGGGACTCTAGAGACTCGCCACGGTCCACACCAACACGATCCAGTAACATCACTCCTCCATCATTTGCTAACCTCAGAAAGCGTCAGCAGGCAGAGGAAGTAAGCATGTTTAGACATAGGGAAAACTTAACTGCTTTCTCAAAAAATCCCAAATTTGTAAATAGACAAAAATTATACTGTGCATACAAGGGAGCCCTGCTTTACAGCTCTTTGCTTTACGGCATTTTGCTAATACGGCCTCTCCTCGCTTAGCGATGTACTCGTTTACCAATGCTTCAGACTTGCAATGGGCTCTCTGACCAGTATTCTTTCCTAAACAATGTATATTAGAGCTGATTTCCTCTATTCTGTTCATTTCAATATGCAGTAAACCACTGTATAAACATTTAAAAATATTCCAGAAATGTTATACAGGAGGGCTCCGCTTTATGGCGTTTCACTTTACGGCGTTCCGCTAATACGGTCATTTCAAATTATGACCAAAACTCGCTATACGGCTCCCCCCACCTAACTTTCTAATACGGTCACCGTGCCCCACCCTGTTTGTTTACATTCTCCGTGAGCTCAGTAAGCACTAAGTCTCTCCATTTTGTCTGGAAACTCCAAAATTTCAAATGTTTTTAAAAGTTATTTCATATTTTATATATACTCTGATAATTATACTTATGTATACCTGTACCTAAATAAACTTACATACTGTGCTGGCATGCAGGTACACATTAAAATCGGTAAGTGTCTTATGTCTCCAGACGTCATATTAGTAATGATAATAATAATCATCGAGTCATTTAAATGTCGTATATTACGTTAATATACACATTTTCATTAATCCATCTATGATATTTTTTTCAAAATTATATAATAAACACGATGCATAACATAAATAAGATAAATACACCCCACAGTAGAATAAATAAACATAAATGTGAGATGTGGTAGCAGACGACTTGCACAAGTGACGCCATATTAGAAATGATAATAATAATAATAACAATACTCACCGAGTCTCATTAAATGTCGTAAAATTACGTTAATATACACATTTCATTAATCCATCCATGATATTTTTTTCAAAATTATATAATAAACACGAAAACATAACATAAAAAGATGATAAATACACCCCACAATAAATAAATAAACATAAATATAAGATGTGGAGCCACATAACTTGTACAAGTGACGGCAAGAATAACATTTTCTCTAATCTAACATAAGAGAAAATGTGTTTACTGGTGGTAACTGTAGAAAATTATTCCTTTCGTATGTATGTAAGTAAGTTTATTCAGGTATACACAAATACAGTTACATAGATTATCATACATAATAACATATGTGTAGAGAACCAAGGATAACCCAAAAAAGTCAGTGTGACTTATTTCCATTGCCTTCACTCAGAGCTTCATTTCTTCTCAAAATGATGTTACATGAGAATGGGAGTGTTCTTCTTTATTAATTCTACCGTATCAATGTAGAGACAACCTGTACACAATGTAACTTGTACACAAACCAGACGTGTACACTTCGTTTGTTTACAAAACTTACCTTCGCCTGGTTTGTTTACATAACTCTGCGCCTGTCCCCTCTCATGTACTCATTCTTTCTCTCTCTCATTTATTTGTTTTATCTCATTTACTTACTCCTGACACTACATTAAGACTACAAATATTTTAAGGTAAGTAATGAGTGAACTGTATATACATTTTATCGCTCTGGGATGCTTAAATATCATAGAATATATGTGTGGGTGGGTTGGCCTGGTATGGTAGCCCGGCTGATTACCATACATACCACACTTGATTTTTTACAATAAATACTACTCATCTCACCCTATATTTTAAGGTAAGTAATGAGTGAACTGTATATACATTTTATCGCTCTGGGATGCTTAAATATCATAGAATATGTGTGGGTGGGTTGGCCTGGTATGGTAGCCCGGCTGATTACCATACATACCACACTTGATTTTTTACAATAAATACTACTCATCTCACCCTATATTTTAAGGTAAGTAATGAGTGAACTGTATATACATTTTATCGCTCTGGGATGCTTAAATATCATAGAATAGTATGTGTGGGTGGGGTGGCCTGGTAAGGTAGCCTGGCTGATTACCATACATACCACACTTGATTTCTTACAATAAATACTACTTGTCTCACCCTAGATTAAGACTATAAATATTTTAAGGTAAGTAATGAGTGCACTATGTGTGTATTGTACTTTTTTATTGTTTTTTGATGCCTGGTTCTATTGCTAACTTAATATATGTTAGTGTAAACTTGTTATCTAGTGTTTGTATGCATTTATAAGTGGAAAAAAAGGTGTTCCACTTTGCGGCGGTAGCCTGGAACCTAACCTGCCGTGTAAGTGGGGCCCTGCTGTAAATGGTGCAAAGATGACTTTAAAACTATATCAAAGATGGTTGACACAAACTCGCTACCATTATAGTATGCTCCTCACTTAGCAACGAATTCGTTTAACGACGTGGTCTCAGGAGCGGAACACCATTGTTAAATGAGGAGAGGCTGTACAGCGGTTTTCATTTATACCCATTCATCATGTATTCAGGCTTCCTTTAATAAATATGTTCACCACTCACTATAAGCTAAGGATGAAAATATTTTAAGATAAGTAGGCATGTGTGTGCATGTTAGGAGTGTTTGGAGTTGAATGGTTTTTGGAATCTGACAAGCTGTTGGGATGTGAGCAGGGTAATGTTTTGTGAAGGGATTCGAGGAAACCAGTTAGTCGGACTTGAGTTCTGGAGGTGGGAAGTACAATTTCCTGCACTTTAAAGGAGGGGTTTGGGCTTTTGGCTGTTTAGAATGACATCTAAACTGTCATATCTGAGCACCTCTGCAAAGACAGTGATTATGTATGAATGATGGTGCAAGCAATAAACAATGATGAAAGTTTTTTCTTTCTTTTGAGTCACCCTGCCTCACTGGGAAATGGCTGACATGTTAAAAACAAATTAATGTATCATCCTTTACTGTAAATTAAGAAATAATTTTCACAATAACTTCTTTTTTGAGATGTAAAAAAAAATTTTCATGTTGATTATCAATATTTTCTTTTAATATACCTGTGCATAAACTCGAGGCATAATAGGTCCATATCCGTTGTTCTAGTTATACCTGTACATGTGCTTCTGCTTCTAACAGGTGATGGTGGACACTGGCTGGGGAGCTGACTCTTCTGCACATAATGTCACTGAAACAGATGATCCCATGATCCAACAGATGAATATCATAAGGAATTATATAAAACAAGCCAGGTGGGTAAAAATTTGTGTGGCCATTTGCTTTAGTGTTGATTCCCAGTTGTTGATTATATGTAATTTAACTTACCCTGCCTTAGTGGGAATAGTCAATGTGTTAATAAAATAAATAATTTAGCCTAATGCTACCAAGTGTATTTTTTTTTTTTTTTTTTTTTTCAACAAGTCGGCCGTCTCCCACCGAGGCAGGGTGACCCAAAAAAGAAAGAAAATCCCCAAAAAGAAAATACTTTCATCATCATTCAACACTTTCACCACACTCGCACATTATCACTGTTTTTGCAGAGGTGCTCAGAATACAACAGTCTAGAAGCATAAACATATAAAGATACACAACATATCCCTCCAAACTGCCAATATCCCAAACCCCTCCTTTAAAGTGCAGGCATTGTACTTCCCATTTCCAGGACTCAAGTCCGACTATATGAAAAAAACCCGGGTTTTCCCCCCTGAATCCCTTCACTAAATATTACCCTGCTCACACTCCAACAGATCGTCAGGTCCCAAGTACCACTCGTCTCCATTCACTCCTATCTAACACGCTCACGCACGCTTGCTGGGAAATCCAAGCCCCTTAACCCACAAAAACCCCCTTTACCCCCTCTCTCCAACCTTTCGAGGACGACCCCCCCCCCCCTTCCTTCCCCTATAGATTTATATGCTTTCCATGCATTCTACTGTGGGTCCATTCTCTCTAAATGACCAAACCACCTCAACAACCCCTCTTCTTTCCCTCTGACTAATACTTTTATTAACCCACACCTTCTCCTAATTTTCCACACTCCCAATTTTCAGCATAAATATTTACACCACAACTTTCCCTTAAACAGGACATCTCCGCTGCCTCCCCAACCGTCTCCTCGCTGCTGCATTTACCACCCAAGCTTCACACCCATATAAGAGTGTTGGTACTACTATACTTTCATACATTCCCTTCTTTGCCTCCATAGATAACGTTTTTTGACTCCACATATACCTCAACGCAAACCCCTCACCTTTTTTCCCTCATCAATTCTATGATTAACCTCATCCTTCATAAATCCATCCCCCGACACGTCAACTCCCAAGTATCTGAAAACATTCACTTCTTTTCCCTACTCCTCCTCCCCAATTTGATATCCAATTTTCTTTATCTAAATCATTTGACACCCTCATCACCTTACTCTTTCTATGTTCACTTTCAACTTTCTACCTTTACACACATTCCCAAACCTCATTTCCCCTAACCTTTGCAATTTTTCTTTAGAATCTCCCAAAGCACAGTATCATCGCAAAAAGTAACTGTGTCAATTCCCATTTTGAATTTGATTCCCCATAATTTAATCCACCCCTCCTCCCAAACACCCTAGCATTTACTTCCTTTACAACCCCATCTATAAATATATTAAACAACCCATGGGGACATTACACATCCCTGTCTAAGACCTACTTTTACCGGAAGTAGTCTCCCTCTCTTCTACACACCCTAACCTGAGCCTCACTATCCTCATAAAAACCCCTTTACAGCATTTAATAACTTACCACCTATTCCATATACTTGCAACATCTGCACATTGCTCCCTCTATCCACTCTATCATATGCCTTTTCTAAATCCATAAATGCAATAAAAACTTCCCTATCTTTATCTAAATACTGTTCACATATATGCTTCAATGTAAACACCTGATCTACACATCCCCTACCCACTCTAAAACCTCCTTGCTCATCCGCAATCCTACATTCTGTCTTACCTCTAATTCTTTCAATTAAACCCTAACCGTACACTTTTCCTGGTATACTCAGTAAGCTTATTCCTCTATAATTTTTACAGTCTCTTTTGTCCCCTTTCCCTTTATAAAAGGGACTATACATGCTCTCTGCCAATCCCTAGGTACCTTCCCCTCTTCATACATTTATTAAACAAAAGTACCAACCACTCCAACACTATATCCCCCCCTGCTTTTAAATTTCTGTCATGATCCCATCAGTTTCCAGCTGCTTTACCCCCTTTCATTTTACGTAAGCCTCACGTACCTCCCCCACACTTACATTCTGCTCTTCTTCACTCCTAAAAGATGGTATACCTCCCTGACCAGTGCATGAAATTACTGCCTCTGTTTCTTCCTTAACATTTAAAAGTTCCTCAAAATATTCTCGCCATCTACCCAATACCTCCATCTCCCCATCTACTAACTCCCCTACTCTGTTTTTAACTGACAAATCCATATTTTCCCTAGGCTTTCTTAACTTGTTTAACTCACTCCAAAATTTTTTCTTATTTTCATTAAAATTTCTTGACAGTGCCTCTCCCACTCTATCATCTGCTCTCCTTTTGCACTCTCTCACCACTCTCTTTTACCTTTCTTTTACTCTCCATATACTCTGCTCTTCTTATAACACTTCTGCTTTGTAAAAACCTCTCATAAGCTACCTTTTTCTCTTTTATCACACCCTTTACTTCATCATTCCACCAATCACTCCTCTTTCTCCTGCCCCCACCCTCCTATAACCACAAACTTCTGCCCCACATTCTAATACTGCATTTTTAAAAACTATTCCAACCCTCTTCAACCCCCCACTACTCATCTTTGCACTAGCCCACCTTTCTGCCAATAGTCGCTTATATCTCACCCGAACTTCCTCCCCTTAGTTTATACACTTTCACCTCCCTCTTACTTGTTGTTGCCACCTTCCTCTTTTCCCATCTACCTCTTACTCTAACTGTAGCTACAACTAAATAATGATCCGATATATCAGTTGCCCCTCTATAAACATGTACATCTGGAGCCTACCCATCAACCTTTATCCACCAATACATAATCTAATAAACTACTTTCATTACGTGCTACAATCATACCTTGTATATTTATTTATCCTCTTTTTCATAAAATATGTTTACTTATTACCAAATTTCTTTCTACACATAGCTCAATTAAAGGCTCCCCATTTACAATTTACCCCTGGCACCCCAAATTTACCTACTACTCCCTCCATAACATTTTTACCCACTTTAGCATTAAAATCCCCAACCACCATTACTCTCACACTTGATTCAAAACTCCCCACGCATTCACTCAACATTTCCCAAAATCTCTCTCTCTCCTCTACACTTCTCTCTCTCTCCAGGTGCATACACGCTTATTATAACCCACTTTTCACATCCAATCTTTATTTTACTCCACATAATCCTTGAATTAATACATTTATAGTCCCTCTTTTCCTGCCATAGCTTATCCTTCAACATTATTGCTACTCCTTCTTTAGCTCTAACTCTATTTGAAACCCTGACCTAATCCCATTTATTCCTCTCCACTGAAACTCTCCCACCCCCTTCAGCTTTGTTTCACTTAAAGCCAGGACATCCAGCTTCTTCTCATTCATAACATCCACAATCATCTCTTTCTTATCATCTGCACAACATCCACGCACATTCAGACTTCCCACTTTGACAATTTTCTTCTTCTTATTCTTTTTAGTAATCTTTACAGGAAAAGGGGTTTACTAGCCCATTGTTCCCCCCGGGATCTTAGTTGACTTTTACAACACGCATGGCTTACGGAGGAAAGATTCTTATTCCACTTCCCATGGATATAAAAGGAAAATTAATAAGACCAAGAACTATTAAGATAAAATCAAAGAAAACTCAGATGAGTGTGTATAAATAAATGTGTACATGTATGTGTAGTGTGACCTAAGTGTAAGTAGAAGTAGCAAGACATGCCTGTAATCTTGCATATTTATGAGACAGACAAAAGACATCAGCAATCCTACCATCATGTAAAACAATCACAGGCTTCGTTTTACACTCACTTGGCAGGACGGTAGTACCTCCCTGGGTGGTTGCTGTCTACCAACCTACTACCATAACCAAGTGTATATTAAATCAATTTAACCCTTTCAGGGTTTCGGCCGTGCTAGTACGGCTTACGAGCCAGGGTTTTTGATGTACTAGTACGCCTAAATTCTAGCGCCCTCAAATCTAGTGAGAGAAAGCTGGTAGGCCTACATATGAAAGAATGGGTCTATGTGGTCAGTGTGCGCAGTATAAAAAAAATCCTGCAGCACACAGTGCGTAATGAGAAAAAAAAAACTTTGTGTTTTTGGATTAAAACAGCGAATTTGCACTGTATTTTCGTATGGTATTTATTGTTGTATTCTAGTTTTCCTGGTCTCATTTTATAGAATGGAAGACATATTACAGAAATTGAGATGATTTTGACTGGTTTTACAAAGAAAAGTACCTTGAAATTGAGCTCAAAGTAGCAGAAATGTTTGATTTTTACCAAAGATCAAAAGTAAACAAATCATGCTATGCTTCCAATACACGTCAACTGGTGAGTCTAATATTCTTTCACAAGTGCACTGATATTATTTATACCATTTCTACACCACTGCAGTAGTCTGCATAACAGTAAATCTTCTATTTTTTTTGTGAGAATAAAAATTCAAAGTGGAAAGCAGAAAAATGTAAGAGGGGCATGGGGACGTGACTAATGAACAGAGGAAATGTTATTTTAGTGCCAGGAATGTCTTTCTTGTTTATTCTGGACCCTATTCGGAAATTGGCATCTTTTAAAATTTGTGTGAAATTGGCAAAATTGCTAAATTCTGACCACTGTATTAGATATTGGGAAAATTTGGGAAATGGGTGATTTCCTGTACTCATTCATAGAAAAAATGGGGTTCTAGCAAAAAAGTTTTGAT